AAGAGTGTTTTTACCTTTGTTGAACAGGAGGGATGCCTTCTTTCTCTTCAACCCGTTCCTTGATCCGATCAATGGTGTCGTTTGGTTCGATATCGATCTCGATTTCTTTTCCTGTCAGGGTCTTCACCTTGATCATGGTTCCACCCCTGAGCCTCAAGACCAGGTGGAGAGTGGACTCTTTCTGGATGTTGTAGTCTGCTAGGGTTCGTCCATCTTCTAGCTGCTTCCCAGCAAATATCAGCCTTTGTTGATCAGGTGGTATGCCCTCCTTGTCCTGTTTGACAACCCCATATCAATCGAAAATCGAATACGAGACGGATCAAAGCATTCAGAATAGCAGAATAGCCCTTTGAACCAGAGTTGAAAACCAGTAGATGTAAGATTGGTCAAGGATATGTACATGAACCCTTAAATTTGAAAACCCAATCTGCAATTTTGTTTTTTGGACAAACTATCAAGTATCAACTACTGCGATGTAATTCTCATCTATAAAGCGAATTCAGTTGAATACTGTCTAGAGATTACCCCAAGAGAATAAGACTTCCAATTTTGTGCGAGAACGACCCTAAATTTCTCGTCAGAAATGGGAACCCTTTTGAAGAACCTAAAATCATTTCTCCCGTCAATCGGCAATCACAACAAAACCAAGCAAGCGGGAGCTAGATCGATCATCTAACAACCCTAACCGAGAATTCCACAAAAAAGGAAACCGCCAGGCAAGCAAATTCAAAACCCTAAAACCACCGGCGTAAAAGGAGCAAATTCGGAAAACGGAGAACAGAGGAAATCGGAGATAGACCTGAATTTTGGCCTTGACATTGTCGATGGTGTCGCTGCTCTCGACCTCTAGGGTAATGGTTTTTCCCGTAAGGGTTTTGACAAAAATCTGCATTTTTTTTTCCGGTGACGCTCCGAAGAAATGTGGGGATCTGTTCTCAAATCTCTACGCTTGAGCGCATATATACACACACACGTATACGTATACGTATGTGCGTGTGCGTATACGTATAGACACGAATCATTTACTGGTTTTGGAATTTGGAATTGTCAATTTGCAAGCGTTCGAACTACGCCACCTCTTTTAGTGCGCCCCTCTCCCTTTATTTATTTAATAACCAAATTATCATTACCAACAATATTTCTAAAGTCAAATCCAATATTTTTTTTTTATAAGTTTGTAGAGTTCATTACAAGGTTAAAGATATTTTTCAACAATGACAATGTTTTGAATTTTAATTATTTTGAATTCGACGAATATTAATTTAAATAAAAATCTCTAATCAGATTAAATCGAATATCGAATCCGACATTGGATTTTACAATAAATTCGGTTCGATTCTTTCGATTTTATAAAAAAAATATATCATTCGATTATTATGTTATATTCAGTCAGTTTCAATTTCGATTTTAGTATTTATTAAAAATTTTAGATTTTCTTAAAAATTTCGATTTTTTTTATTTTTTAAAATTTGATTTGATTCCACAAAAAATCAGTTTTTTAAAAATTTTGTACAGTTTGATTAAAAAAATACCGCATTTTTCATTTCGGGATATAAAAACCGTACCGAAACGTTCACCCCTATTATAAATTAGAGTTATAATCATGAAGTATTAATGAACTCAAAACTCTTCAGAGACAAGAAAAAGACCAACACAACACACAATAATGTTTTCTATGAAAAATAACAAATTCATCATCTTGACGGCATTATAAATGACGACATCCCCCAAATCAAATAGCAATATTTATACGTAAAAAAAAAAAACAAAACACAGTTAAGATGAGACCGCAACGGCAAACCGGTAAACCGGACATCCAACCTCTCATAAACGACTAAACCGGTTAGGCTTGGTTCGGTTTTCTAAAGGTGTTCGAGGGTTCCACTCTTGAGCCTCTCCATCCGAGCCTGGAGACCGGACAAGGCTTTCTCGTCCATGGGGAGAACCGTCTGAGGAGCCTCTGGGACCGACTGGTTCGGGGAACCGGTCTGGTTCAGTATCCCATCATCATGCGGTATGCTCCCTGACTCTAGGGTTCCTCCCGAAGCAGCGAGTTGCATGCTCTTCATCCTTTCCCGGATCGCGTCTAGCGTACCACTCGTAACTGCAATCATATATTTTTTTGGTTAAAATTTACCCGACGGGACGGGACGGGATGAAACAGAGGGAGGGTTCGATCTTTGGAACTTACCTCCGGGAATCATTCTCTTGTTACTGGCTCGAATGTCTTCGGTGTATGCAGGCGGGACTGTGAAATTTGCGGGTTCAGGTTTAGGATTTAGTGGTTTTACCTCGTTCAATGACGGGATTTCGGGAGATGGAAGGGTTAAGGAAGAAGGGGGCGGGGTGGACAGAGGTAGGCTTGAAGGCGTTCTTCCGGCAGCTGCGTTCTTCTCCACCTAGAGAGTATCCGAAAAATCCTTCCACGATTGATTTACTCGAAAAAAATGATCTTTCTACGGGAATGAAGAATAAAAAAGACGGGATAACGAACCTGGGCTAAACCGTCCCTGATATAAGTGCGAAATGCTTCACTAGCATTCTGAAGTTGGGCAAAGATATCGACCTACAATCACAATAACAATTCCGCTTACAGTTCCATCGATCCCAAAACAGAGTTTCGTGTTTCCGATCGCAAAAAGCATCGTACCTTTGGATATAGCTGAGTGATGCGGTGAAGTTCATAAAGACCAATTGTGGAGGTTTGCTTGTCACCAATCTTCTTGAAAATTGCCGCGAGTTCTTGCTGTAGGACCGGAACGGAAAAAGCCCATTGAATAGACGAAAACAAAGATTGCGGTGTATAGAAAAGTTTAACGGAAAGCTTTTACCTTCAACTGAACTTCGGCAGAATTCGCAGGAGGCGAGGGGTTGTTCGCCGTTGAATCGGTCCAATGGGTTTGGCCCACGGGCCCGGTCGCTGTCAACATTCTTGCTGCCGCTAAGGTCTGCAAAAGAAAATAAATCGCAAATTTAAAATTATACGTAAAGTTTTCGGCTACATGCTTCGAACAAATTATGCATTTTGCAACATTCTTCGCGAATTCTGGAATTTACCTCAAGGTTCAGATCAATGTAAGCAAGAATGATGGGTTGTGGCCTCATGTCGATAGGGACCAAAGATAAATGACCCTTTATTGCAGCTCCTCGAAGTTTAACAAGTTCATGTAGAACAGTTTTCACCATTCTCAGAGGTTTATCATCTGCTCCAGCTCTGTTCATATGCAAAAAGATAAAGGAAAACCCCCGAAAGACAAGTCGAGTTTGGATTGGCTTACAAGACAAGTTACAGATACAACGAACTTGTAAAAAAAGAAAAGAAAACTTACCTTCTGCGTATCTCTTCCATTCCCAACTCTTGGAGATAAAGATGAATGCTTTGAAGAAGGCGATCGAGATCGACTTCATATATGGTGCTTTGAAGGAGCTGTAAATCAACAAACCCAAATACCGAATTAAACAATATGATACTGTGATCAATCAGCAAAAAAGAAAAAAAAACGTAAGAGCCACACTTTTCAATGAAATATATCACAAAAGAAATCTCACCTTTGTGAGTTTGATAAGGCACTTGACAACTAAATCAGAGAATTTCTGATTCCGGGTGGCATACACTTCAGGGGAAGCAGGTGAAGGCCATCGAGATGGATCTAGAGGACGTAGAAGGCTAATCAGGACAACAAACGATGATGTCCGATCAGCATTATCCTACAAAGAAATTAACAAAGTCATTAATTCATATTGTCAATCTAAGAGGGAGAAGAATAAAATTTTAAAAAAACGTCATGGTAAGGAATTACTACAAACCAGGATTTTGAGCATCAGAACGTTGAGAGCTTTAAGAAGTTGGCTGCCATCTTCCATGCGAGGAACTCTTTCATCAAGTAACCAAAGAAGGAGCTCTGTAATAAGGCTTTCCAGAGTGCCCTCTTTGACAGCATGAGCAAGCTTTTTATTTTGAAATGTCTGCAGTGAAATTGTAACAAAACCTTAGAATCCGAGCAGGTAATGAAGGAGATAACCTCTAAGTAAATCGATTTTACTCAAAATTATACCTGCATAAGCGTATTTAGAACGTATTTACAAGACCTCGATGAAGCTCCCATTAAACTGAAGTCAAATGTCTTGGCAACCTAACAGGACAGAAAGATATTTTACCATTGTAACCTAATCTTAAACGGGAAAATGGAATTACCAAGGAAAATTTTGGGCAAACCTTATTTGCTAAGCATGAAACAAGTCTATCAGCATCCTTCACAAGTTCGTCAATTGCATTTTCCTCGGGATCATTGGAAGCTTGTGCCAACTCGTGACACACGACTTTCATACCTTCAACAGACTGGAATCCAGAAGCAGATGACAGAAAATCAAATCAAAACTTACAGACTCAATGAATCACAGCATCAGCTAAATTGTAATTCCAAATATGACAAATTTTGGGTCATATGAGAATTGGGATTCGGTAAACCTCCCATACCAAATGATTAAATCTTCTCATATGTAGTGATAATGTTACAAGTATTTGTAATGCAGCTGGTTAACTCAGTTACTCAGAGTGGATTGAAGCAGCATTACAGTCAGTTTTAGCAGATAATTTGAAGCAGCAATTCTATAAGTTCAACTAACAACGTATTCCATTTCCCTAAAATGTGTAAAAATATTCTACAGTGGTAAAATAAGAAAAAAGCTTGTCTGACCTGCTCGGGAGAGCCAAACATAATGATGTCCAAAGCTTCATTCCAGTCTGTAGGACCATTGACTCCAGAGATTGACCGAGGCATTTGGTTCCTCTCAATTGGTGGCTCAGATATGCCAAAGTTTTGCCTGAAAGGTAAAACAATGCATGACTGTACATATACAAGCCACAAAACAGAGAAAATTCAGAAGGTTGAAGAACTATTACGTGCTGGATTATAAAAAGAGTACCTTGGAAACAAAGGACCAGATACTGACTGAGATACTTCTCCACTTTGCTCAGCCACTTCAGGCCTGGCAACAAACAAACCTCAGTATAAATATACAAAACACAGTATAGCTTTATCTTTTCAATCATTCATAATAATAGAGACAGAAAACTATTATAAAATTTTGTTAGGTTAAAATTCCAAACTTCTCCTATATTCCACTCAGTACTCCAAAACAAACTACATGGGAAAACCGTTTAGATGGATTAGGCAGATAGACAAGAAACAGAACGTCTTATTGTAGTCAATGATATCCATATTGATTGCACACAGACCAACAAATGGAAGCAATAAGGAGCCATGGTGAAAAACATTGGGAAAAAATTCCTAAAAAATTACGCACCCATTTTCTCTAACAGAACGTCTTAACGCAGCTCGTGCATCCCCAGGCCTCCCTTCTCTCTTTTTCTCCATTTCTCGGACCTGATTTAGTCATAGTGATTTTGAAAAGAAAAAAGAAATAAAAACAAAACACATTCAAAGCGCTAAGCTGAGACAGAAATCCGTTTATTTTCGCACTTACTTTCCATTTAAATCTGTCATCAAGCATGCTCCTCTGAGCATCAGTAAGCTTACCAACATATCGCCAAATATCATCACCTAGAGTCCATAAATGAATTTAACAGTGAGAAAAACAAGAAAAAGGCTTAAGATTTTGTCAAAGCATGCATCGATGCCCTAACTTTTTAACAAACAGAAAGAGGAAAATATGCTAACATCTGCAAGCCTTGGATACAGTACATTACAACTTCCCAAGAGTTCATTAGGGATATGATGCCATACCAAGTATCTTATAACCCATAGCCAAAGTGTTCAAGGCAGCTTTTCTGAGTTCACCATCTCTTTCTGCCGTTAAGCTTGCAACCATATTCAAGTATTTCAGTAGACCATTTATCTGCTTAAAAAACGAGTATAAGATCCCAGTAATAACGAAGAAAAGTCAGGTAAAGTAGACATGTCTCTCTACTACCTCAGGTCCACAAGCCTCAAGCAGATATCCGATGAGATCAGCACATTCTATTCTCGTACGGTTGTTTTTGGAACGCAAACCTTCCAAAATATAGGGATATGTCTTTGCAACAGAGTATGCATGGATAATCTGCTTCATAAGCTCACGCATTTTTTCTCTTACTTTTTCAATATTATGGCCCGACTGCACCAAAATACCATCAGGTTCTTAGAAAGTGTACAGCACCCAAATTCTTTTAGAAGACAATATAAAAAGCAAAAGAAATCTAATAAACATGACCATGAAACCACAAGAGTACGGATTTTGGAAAATATCAAATGCCTAACCTTCTCCACCAAGCAAGGCAGAAATATCGCTGCTTCGGCCTCTGTCATACAATATCCCTCATCCTTCAACATGTGAAAAAGTTCTGGAAGGAACTCAAGCACCTGTTCTCAGCAAAAGTCAGCAGAAACACAATTAATGATGCAAAAGCAAGTAGTACTGGATTTACAGAACAAGGAGGGAAAAAATAGTGGTAAAAAGCATATCTAATACTTTAGCAGACAAGAAAAATTACAAATCAGAACAAGGAGGGAAAAATAACCTTTAGCAGACAAGTAGTGTTGGATTTACAGAACTGCAACACAAACCACCTAAGAAGTATATCTAAGACTTCTATTATTTCTTTTGCGAGAGATGGAAGGGCCTGAAGTGAAAAGAACAAGAATAAATAAAAAGAGCTAAAAAGTTAATACATTAAGTTGATGCATAAAATGTTATCACTGTGTAGCAACCTTCTGTAGCATTTCCAGGCCATCTACTTGTTTCTTGAAGTCTGCACTCAACAATCGCTTTTGAAGGTCTTCTCTAAAATATTTCATCATATCATTCTGCACCATGCATCAGAATAAGTCACAATGTGGTGATACTGCAGAAAAAATTTTGTATCCTTTGAAAACACAAACCTCAAGATCCTGAATCTGTTCTGGCCGCAGCTCTTCAAATTTAACCCTACGAACTACAATCCTCTCCCTTTCGTCCTGTAAATTGACAACAGAATCAATTCATTATCATTCTACATTATCTTTGGTATTCTTTCAAACCATTGAGAAGCTCATCTCACCTTATTCGAGTCCTTGATGTTTAACAAAGCCTGTGACTGGATAGCTATATCATGGACAGATGTAATTTGATCTGTCCTCGAGCCTTTTGTTGGTAAGGTTCTCTTCAGAAAAGACCAAAACAAACAAATCAGATTTTTAACCACCAGGAACAAAACAAACAAATGTTAGCGACAAACTTACAGAGGATATAGATCTGTTCCCATGCTTAACGGTACCATTCGAAGTCGATTTAGCTACCTTTGAAACACTTTTCGACACTGGACCCGCCAAAGTTTTGGATGATTCAGATGACTCTGAAAATAACACTCGTGGAATGCATAAAAAGGGAAAAGAGCAAAATAGGGAGCATAAAAAAAAAAGCAAGGATAAAACAATCTACTCTGTCATGGAGAGGTACCTTGAACAAATCCAGGTCTCACTTTTTCAAGTATGACAGCTAATGCTGGACCTTGGATATCTTTAAGATTCTTTTCAATCTGAAAACACAGTGAGTACATACAACAATGTTCAGATAAGAAGTCATAGCCAGAGAACATAAAAAGCAGCTCCAGGACACGTACTGTGTCTTGTCCACTAACTCTCAAGATCTCACCAACACATCCTTCTGCTGCTTTCCGTACATCTGCTGATTTGTCCTAGAAGGTAACAAGGAATTCAATAAAAAAAAAAGTTTTGACAAACAGTAGAATGATCAGATTGGAGGAGATAAGGCAACATCAGACGTTGAACAAGTTACCATCATTGCAACACTTGTTGGCTTCAATAAGTGTATAGCATCTGCAAAGTCACTTAATCCAGCAAGTTGTTTGGTCAACCAATCAAAAAGATCCTTACGCCCTTCTGCTCCAATTTTACCATCTGTTAGGGCTATTATTATGTAAGGAATCTGCAACAAGAGAAATGAAAAGACTCTAAGATATAGTTTAACCTAACACAATATTCGGCTACGCACAGCACAGGGCACAACTGTGTACCATTTTGTCAAGATGCACAGCACCAATCCACGAATCAAGAGTAGACAAGGTGCATTCTCTCATATGCTTCTTGTTGTCACCAAGGCATTTAAGAATATCAGAAAGAATGCCCTGAAGGAAATCCCCAAGTATAATTGGTCAAACCGGAAAATAAACAATCAAATTAAGGTAATCAGTTTTTTCAATGCTTGACATGTATCTCCAACCTTGCTCGCCTTCTCCACAGCTGGCCCCATGGCTGCCGCAACACCTCCAATGGTAGTCAATGTTTGCATGACAAGATTCTTGTTACTGTCATACAGACGTCCTCGTAGGCCACCAAACAGTTCCCCTGACAGGCAGAAAAAAATTGGTACCGAAAACAAATATAAGAATGCTGGGTCGGGTATGAGAATAAAAAAACCAGGTCATGAAAACCATGTGAAATAGAACCAACTTCCAATTTCATACCAGTTCCGGCTGGTTGTATACGCTTATTAGCTTCTTCCAGAATTTTATTCACAGCTTCAATTGACTCCAAACGCATCTACAATATGGTAAAACACAAAATCTCAACTCCACAGCTTGAGAATGAATCTTGATAGCAGGAGAGCCAGATTCAAGAAGAAAAAGGTTCCAGAAATTCAAATATTCACAAAGTACCTTCCAATCAGGACTTTCAAATCCCTTAAGAAGGCTAGGAGTAATCTTGCTACTGATATCTTCTCGTGGCAAGGCATCAAGCCCACCAGCAGAAGCAGATGCAGGCACGGAAGCCTTAACAGTCCTCTTTGTAGCTGCCGAAGTCCCCTGACGTACAAAAAATAAATACAGTGTAAACAAGAAACCCATTACTGCAGAAAGGCAGTCACACAACATTGTACCTCAAAAGGGTTTTTCTCATATTCAGCATCAAGGGCACTAAGCAGTGCAGGTTTGACATCATTAAGAAATCCTTTGATGTCTGCAAAACAAATAACATGGGTCAATGCAAGCAATTAAAAAAGAGATTCGTATAACAAGGACAAACCGGTGACAGTTTGAAAGTATTCTTAGCCACCTGGACCAACAAATTTGTGTAAAACCCCCAAAAGCTTGATTGTAGCATTCCTGGTGGCTGCTGCACTAGATTGCAGTCCAACATCTTTACAGAAATCTATTAAATCCTGTCAAATGGAAAGCAAATACTCCCCTCATCATGATAGTGTATGCATAGATACTGTAATTGTACTAGAAGGGAAATCTGAGAGCATAAAACTTCGGGTGGATAAACTTCAAAACCTTAAGCTTCAAAAGTGAGACACCAAAGTCATCGACTGCAGAAACCATCCATAACAAGCCTTCACTGAGAACCTTGGGATTCTTGTGCTCTTTCATAATTTTGTAAAGCTACAACAATTGAAAACTCTCGACCATCAATCAGATCTAAAGCAGACAAACATCAAAGTAAATCCGTTGCAAGCTGCACTTACTCTCTCAAAAACAAATCCAGGACCAACTGCTTCACAGAAAGCAGTAAGACATTTCATAACATAGGCCCGAGTTTTGATATCTGCTACTCGTTCGCTGATGCCTGTGAATTAGTAGAGAATGGACAAGAAAATGAAGGTTCTGGTGACTACTGAGTACGGACAAAAGCTGTATTCTAGAGGAATAATTTGTTTTGAAGGAAACAACAGGCTGCAAAGTTAGAGATTAATCAAATGGAGATGGCTCTCTATTAATTTATTACTTACCCGTGAGGCAAAGAACAACACATTTCTTTGGAAATTTTGTCGCAGTTGAAGATATGTGATTAACAATTTCAAGGACCTGTTGTTGAACCTGCATTTCCAAGTATATGCCCGAGAGTTACTTTTAAATCACCCGACAAAAGACAGACCTAGCAAAAAAAAACCTAGTCTGAAAATTCAGATGATATAACAAACATACCTGCACATTTTTCTCATTCCAACCAGGAACTGCACACAACAATCGGACCAAAATTTCCACCGACTTATCAAGTTCCTGTAGACCTTCTATTTGCTGTTTCAATGATAAAGTTGCTACAAAAGAAATGCACAGCAACAATGAGAAAAGTGTGTGGTTGAATGATAATTTGAAGTTGTACTTTGTATGAGAAATTTGAAAATTTATTTAAAATAGCCATTCATGGTAGAGATGGTGTAGATAGGGTTGTCCAAAGAAAAAAAGAAATTTCAACTCAAGCATGAAGTACACAAATTTGAACGAGAGAAATAGGCAATAATTGTGAACAAGGCATAAAATGATAACATAAAAACTGTCTAAGCCTTCAACAAACCTTCAAGTCTTTCTTTCCATACAGAGCTCTTCAACTGAGAAACAGTTTCTGGTTGTACAAGCGAACCTAATCTGCTCTCAATCTCTTCAAGGCTCATTTCAGCAGGCTAAATAAATACAAAGATGAGTTTAACATACCAGCATCTTAGAAATCTAACATCAGGATGAAGTCACTATCTGACTAGCATAGCATCTTATATAAATTAGTACTTCAGAATTCTGAATTAGCGAAAATGAAGACTACCTCAACATCTTCAGGTGGCTCAACAGATTTTGAGCCTTCAGTCCGAGCAGCACCATCACTTTTTTTGCTCCCGCCTGGCTTTGTAGTTCCACTCTTCTTGTTGGCAGGCTATACAGTTCTCAGCATTAAGGTTAGCAAAAATATTAGACAGCAGCAGATAATCTACCCCCCTGAATCTGTTTCTTTGTCCCAATTCCAATTATGACATACCACTACTCAGTCACATAAAACCCAGAGCATAATAGAAACAGCAAATGACCCCAGATTCTACCAACTTCCAGCAGAAAGACTAAAGAGAAAACTTACAGCTGAGGGAGCAGGTCTTTTGCCACTCAGCATGCTTGCTGCTGATTTCCTTGCAAATGAAGACTCTGAGTTCTGCAGAGATCCAAAAGTGGTGTTAAATTTTTCTGGGTATATCCAAGGAGGACATAAAACTCATACAATCATAAAATAAAAGAAAAAAAAGCCCCTAAGACAACGAGGGAAGCCATCCACCTCCATATACCAGATACCTTACCTTCTACTACCACAAAGAAAGAACATATCGGTTTTCATGCAAGTGAAATATTAAATACATGAAAAAGTGTTGAAGAGAAGCTTACCCCTGCAGTTGCCGTGCCTCCAACTGAAGACTGGACTGTCGCTGGTATAACAATAGAAAACACGATATAAATATGAGTGAAAGAAAAACCTTGAACAAAAGTTTTTTCAGAAATGCATCTATGGGGAATAAAAGTCTACAAACCAGAGCTTGTAACAGTTGGTCCACCACCTCCACAAGCTGCGATCATTTCTGACAGTTTCTTTTTCCTGACATCATCAAGTTTTTCCAGGGACCTTTCCAAAGGCCGCATACCTACAGACTGAAAGAAAAATAAATAAAGAAATTCATGAGAAAAAAGACAGCATGATGTAAGCATGGCATATATTTCCACATTATTCTTAATACGAATTCATGTCTTTCAGCATTTTGTTGCTGCATAAAACAAGTGAAAAAATCTTGAGCTTCTAAGGCAAACCAAGAGTATTACCTTAGCTATTGCAGCCAAAGCCGAAAATGCTGCATCCCTCACTTCAGGAGTTCCATCATTAAGACACTGCATTATTAGAGTTTCCACGCTTCCAATCAGGTTCCACGCTTTGAACAATTTATTTTCTTCAACTGCTATTCTCAAGCGACATTTTTTTTGATTTACAAGGAAAGCGAACTCCATGACTAAAGATACAGACCAATATAACAATTGCAACTTTCATATGCTACTTCATCCTTCAAACACTGATTCATAAGTCACAAATAAAAAAAGCTACACAGCTACATAACCAGATTGAAATACTGCTTGATGATTTGGTCCAATAGTGACATGTTTTTCTAATCCATAACAAGTTTATACCAAAACAAATACAAGAGACCTTTATGCACAGAAGTACTGACCTCCATGCATATGGGGACATAATCTTTGTGTGCCTTCAGGATAAGAGCCTTGTTACTTGTTTCAAGGCAAAATGTTACCCAATTCAATGTTGAAGAACGGACAAGCGGAACTTTATTTTTTACTGCAGTCTTAATGTCTGCAAAGGAAAGTACCCTTTGTCAGAAATCTAAGAAAGGTGAAACGCTTTGAACTCCAGCAAAAAGATAAATCCATCAAAAAAAAATTACAAGACAATAAAAAATCTTTGGACAGAAGAAAAACAGAACAAAAAAAGTAAAAGATAAAAGTTTACGAATGAATATTGAAACACCATCATAGACACATCAATCATATTAACCAAAAAAAATGCCATATAAAACTCGTTCTTGCCTTCTATAATGTCTACAAGGCTCAAACACCCAGCTTTGTACATAGCTTGAAGAGTTTGTGTAAGCGAGTCAGCGACTGTTGGTTTCTTCTCTTTCAATTTTTCCTGTCAAAGAAAATTGTTAAATAGAGTTATGCAGTTATCTCAAAAGACAAACAAAGACACAATCTAACTTCCAGACTCAGTAATTATTAGATAAATCCACTCTAAGTAACACTAAAATACATGAAAACATATCTTGCTAAATTAAATATGGTTCCAAAATGGATGACCTTATAATACTCACAAGTAGAACAGGCAAGAGAAAACGTGAACTTGCTGAGAAATGAGTTCTTAAACCACGGGCAAGATTGCCAATGGCTTGGATGGCTTCAACTGCAACAGCCAAGTTGACATCCGTGATAAGCTGCAAGGGCAAGTAACGAATAAAATATAAATTCGAGTTAAAGCACCGGCAGTATGAACAATACAACATCATCATAACCAAAAGACGTAATTCCAGTTAACAGGCTTGTGTAGGACACACCGGATTCAAACATCCAGTTAATTTGTAAGTTTATATATCAGCAGGCTACTTTTTTGCATCAAGAGTACCTTAACATCACACATGCAGAGAATCATACAAAGAACCTATGAAATTTAGGTAAATGCAACAATATATTGAAGAAATTCAAAATTTCAAAACATGCAGCCTATATTTCTCATTTTGGAAAGTTCTACTACCTTTTTTATGGTCCGGCAAACTTCCGAAAAATCACCCGGTGCTATTTTTTTAGTCGAAGCAAGTTTCGTAAGCTCTGCAACAGCATCCTTACGTTCTGACCACTTCGTAGCTTTCTGAAAGGGGAAACGCAATTAGATGACATGTATTGCCAACAATACATATAAGAAGCAGGGAAACAAAAAGGATCTACATTCTACAGTAAAAGATATGCAAAAATATAAGGCATAAAATATGTCATGTGGTGTAAGCATCAATAACTCACCACTCCATCCCAGAACCCAGACTTTTCCAAAGGAGTCAGAATATCGACAGGATCCATAAGATCATACTCATCTATTTCCTGAGGAACTGATAATCACAAGTATCGGAAGGAAAAATCAGTATTGGCTGGGAAACTGATCAAAGCACAAGCTAACTACCTTCAGCAACAGGTTCTTCAGATGGTCCAGCACCCCCGACCTCAGATGTAGCTTCTGGTTCTGGCTCCTTGTCTTGCTCAGATCTTAAAAGTCCAATACAGAAACAAATCCAGTCACAATTCCTCCAGATACAGACCACATACATTCATGAATCATAACTTGTATAATTCGCAACGGATGGGCACAAAGACCATAAATCAAAACAGAAATATCCGCCAATAACTGAATAGCCAGAAATCAAATAAATATCGAACAGGAATTACTGATCATATGTGATCGGTAGTACCTTATTTTTCGAGTTGGCTTTGCTACTCCAGAAACATTAGCAAGCTCAGCCTCCAGCTCTTTTTTCTTAAATGGCCAGAATAAATACAGAAATTAGTTTTTGGAAGAAAAAAAAAGTCAGTCCAATTAAAAGTCATCCGAGTAATTTTCTTATACAATTAAAAAGGGAAAAGGATAAAGTAGTTTCAGATTAAACTTAATAGAAATCATCAGAAGTTTACAGCCAACAGTTCATAATTCTAATCTGTACTGGATCCAATCTTCTGTCTTTCATGAAAAAAATCTATACTTTCAATTTCCTTAATGCAGAAATGTGAGAAGATTTTTAGTGAAGTTATATGATCTTGGCAGCATGGCCTATCTGCAAATGCACAATCAACACAAATCTTACCATTGTATCTCGCATTTTCTCAAACAATATAGACTTTACAGGGTCTTTCCCAATCCAGCGGCATAGTTCAAGAGTCAGCCCTTTGGCACATGCACGGACATTCTGATCTTGATGGTCAAATAACTCAGGAAGCATCTTCAAAATCCTTTTGGGAGGGATAATCTTTGATCCAAATTCACTAGACAGAAAACAAATCGTTTTGTTATGAAAGATTTGAAAAAACAATGGTAAAAAATCGTAACAGGGTCATTGAAGGAAAACCTTAGAGCTTGAAACATAACATCAACCGCAGGTACCACAGCTTTAGAGACTTTATTCTTGATGGCTTTCTCCATAGCATCCTACAATCATCACAGGCTGTTAATTTGGATAAGGAAATGTGCCCTGACCACTGAGACCCTTCACCATTAACAATGGCTATTCTCTTTACTTCAACCATTGGAAGTGCCAGAAAACCAGTTTTGATGGGGTATTACAGCGCTAGAACTAGTCTCTCTACTTATCGCCCTATGCTTTTCATATCTCTAAAAACTCGAACTAAGTATTGTCCAAATGAAAGAAACACCACATATACACATGGAAGAAAATGGCAATGCTAAAGAACTTTCCAAAACCATTCTGCTATCAGAAAGGGTACAAGTAATACATTGATGGTGGTGAATAACTACCATTATCAATATGATAAGTTCACTGGAACAAGCCACCAAAGATTCTAACCGTAGCTCCATGTTAGAGATGATTTTTTATTACAAATTTCTACATCTTAACTTGCTTTTAACAGCAGATATAGGCCTATGTTCTAGTTCTCCACCCAAAGAGAGAAAAGTCACAACGATTTAAATTATCTCAACGAAACACGGGCGTATTTTCGCGGACGCAGTCCGGGCCGTCTCGTTGAGGAGAGGTAAAGAGTACTGTCAATTGCTACCATTCTGCACAACACATGGAATTGTGGGAAATGGCTTCTTTTCTTATACCCTTCATCACTAAATCTAAGATTGGTGCACGAGTTAATTTCACTCAGTAACAAAGCATTGGCATTTCCACATCTATACAATCTCCCACCTAGCTCTACTCCACTTTCATAAGTACATTATAAGAATTGCAGAGTCCTAAGCATCACAATGCAAGCTTTCAGAACTTAGTAACTACATAGAATTAGAAAGCTCTCAAAGAATCGTAGCAAGGGGAATAAATAGAGGACAATGTCAAGACATACCATAAAGACTTCAACCGTCTCTAATTCTACCCAAAGCAAGAAAGCTGCCTGCGCCTTCTCTACAGTCTTAGGCCTACCAGTGAGGCATTTTGCTACAATAGCATCGCAAACTTCCTTTGCGTACCTTCGCGAGCAAAAGCAAACAAACCAAATACAGTTAACATGAAAATAAAGCATTTCCCTCTCACTACTCTCCAGAGCCTCCAAGAGAAGAGAACCCCCCCACACACAAAAACCTTACCTTCCTGCATCTGCGTCGGCTGCCCGCTGAAATGCAATCAAGGCATCGAGCGCCTTCTCTTGCACCGGCGCATTCGAATCTGCCACCGTCTTCCTAAACAAGGGACCTGCAAACAAACCCACAAAAAACGAAGCTAAAAATCCAACCAAAAATCCGGAAAAAAGAACCCTAGAAACATCGCATCCCGCCCAAGAATCCAATTCCAAGCAGATCCAAAAACACGCAGAGCAGTCGAACCAGATCTGGGCCTCAGAAAGAAAACCCTAAACAAACGAAAACAACGAACACAAAAGCGAACGGAAAAAGCTCAAACTCACCGAATTCTCGAAGGCGAGGGTCCTTGGGATCGGTGATGGAGTCACAGAAGGCGGCCAGGTCGATGTTAGCCTCGTTCCTGACCTTCCAGTTCTTGTGCAAAAGCCGATCCTCCCATGGAAGCTTCTTCGCCTCCTTCAACAACTTCTCTTCCTCCGACATTTCTCGCAGATTGCACCTTCTCCGACTCCAATCGCTCGTATGTATCGATCTATACCTAGAAGCTTTCTAGACAGAGAAACAACACCCCCTCTCTCTCCTAATTTCAAAACTTTTCCCTTTTTTTCCCCTTAAATTTGTTTCTTTGTCTTTTCTTCTTTCGAAGTGCCGGCAAGAGAGAGAGAGAGAGGTGCTTGTTGAGGAGTTTTGGTTTCTACGTTTAAATCGGAGCCCATATTTTATGAACAAAACCCACGCGCTCTGCTATCCGAGCGTGTGTTCACGCGTCTCATATATGGAAGTATGAAAACCGCATCTTTTAAAATTCAAAAAAGAACCGTTAAATTTTTAACAATTACCCAATCAAAATTGTAACAAATTTTCATCTTTGTAAAAATTCAATTTATTTATTTTAAATCAATTAAAAAATTAATTTTTCATTTTGAAATATTTTAATTATGACTAAAATAGATAAATTAATGGATTAAGGCTTTTATTTTAAAAATTGTAACAATCACCTAATCAATGTAACAAAATTCCGTCTTTGTAAAAATTCAATTTTTTTAATAAATTCAAAAGATTAATTCTTCATTATGAAATATTTTATATGACTAAAATAGATAAATTAATAAATTAAAATTGTATTTAGATATCTAGGTAATCTCTGTTGCACAATATAGAGTGGGTTTGGAAAATTTTGAAAAATACATTGTTTTTTATGGTACCGTTTGAAAAAGTACAAGATTTTTTTATGACACCATTTGAAAAGTATATTATTTTTTATGGCACAATAGGAAAGTTCAAGTGTTAAATTGGCCAAAAAACAAAAATATATTGTTTTATACAACACATTTGGTAAAATTTAGTGTTTTTTTAATGGGATTCTAAAAAAAAGAAGAATTTCTAATAAATAAATAAAAAGATTAAAACTTTAACCAAGACCAACAAACAGGTTATATGTACAAGAAGAAGATGGCTGCTGCATTCTATTTCTTGGCCTGCAATTGAGGACCTGCTTTCTTCTTGCCAAATGCCCTGCTTTTGCTTTCTAGTTCATCATCATCATCATCATCATCATGATAGCTATTCTTGTTAGAAAAGGGAACAGTTTTCGCATGTTTTCTTCTCCCTGCATCCAACTTCCCTTGCAGTTTCCGGTCGAGTGGATCATCTGAAGGTCGACGCTTTGTTTGCTTCGACACTTTTGCACCAAGACCAAGCCTAAGATGAAGTCTATTGTTTATAGATATGCTCGGTATTTGCATATAAAAAAAGATCAGCTTGATGCAAAATTGACATTTGAGATTAGATACTGGACACTACTGTCACTGACCTATGAGGTCGAAGAGCGAGTTCTGGTTCAGTTTCTTCATCTTCTGTGGGCTTTGACATGTCCTTGACCCATTGTTCGGCCTTGCATTTTAATATAAAAAACCATGAATACGAGAGGAACTCGGTAGCAAGACAAGCAAGAATTTTCAGACATGATAGACAAAGTATGCAAGAGGGTCAATACACATTAGTATCACGATTCACGAGCAAGACAAAATCCACTTCCAGCTAGCTCCATGAACAGATGTGAAGTCTTACAAGTTTGAAAGCTGTGTCCAATTTGAAAATCTGAGGAGGAACCTTCTTCTTCGACGCTTCACTTGTCATTGCATCAACAAAAATAAACTTCCTGCAGTTCCCAGAAAAAGCAGAGAACATTCACCACATGAACCCAAGAATCCTAAAAAGGTACATACCCATGAAATTTCCAAACATCAAGAACATAGAACAAGTCCTGTAATAATCCACAGCTGTTTCTATACAAATCTCAATAGATTTCCAAATTTTTACATTCCCAATTCCTTAACCTACCCTCCAGGAGCATACTGCCCACTGAAAAGAACAAGGCGAAGTGTAACTGAAAAGAACGAAGTGACATGAACTGAACAACCTATACGCATACAAACAATTCCATATCAACTGCAGATAAAATCCGCAGGTTATCAAAGGAATCGTATGAACAAAGAGCTCTAAACTGAACGACGGGTCAAACCCGTTTTGAACTTCAGAGCCTCCATGGACGCAATACAAAATCTGCACTTAATCGAGCCTCCGAAATCACAAAATCTGCAATAAAAGCGAAACCCTATGTTCCTAACAACCGAAACCCTCTCCACACGGACGAACGAGAAACAAAACCCTAACCATATCAATCAAAATCGAAACCCCGACTGACCAGAAATCGAACAACCGAAACCCCGACTGAGGACTGAGGAAGAACTCGACGGCGACGGCGACGGCGACGCTTGCGACTGTAAGGGGTGTCGAGCCTTTTGGTTGATGACAAATCGAGCTCCAGGTCGAGGCTCGAATGGAAGACGGTTTTGGGTTTTTAAAATTAAAAAAAAAAATTGTAAATTCGGTTTTTCTAAAAATTTTAAAAATCAATTTAATAAAATAATTAATTAAAATTTTAAAAATTCTATTTTTCTAACCTATAAATACTATAAAAACACAGCAAAAACAAAAACCAAACATTCAAAATTTCAAAATAAAAAGCATCATCTAATCTCGACCGATTCGATTTTACTAAACCGTTTCGGTTTTCCCACTTAGACCGGTTTACACGGGCCCACTAGTATTTCCAATGGGCTTTAGGGCTAAATAGGCCCAATAAGGGTTTTATCCGGCTCGCGTGATAATTGGATTTATTTCATTAGAGACGTTAGATAAAGAAAGTCACGGTCGGCACGTGCGCGGGTCACGGTCGGCACGTGCTAGCCCCCCCACTTCGCCCCTCAACTTTTATTTTTTAACGGAACACAAACACTCTCTCACTACTTTCCCTCTCCTCACTTTTTATCGTATCATAAATCACAGCACACCAATAAAAGCCAGATTTTTTTTTTGGGTATAATCGTATACTTGCTTTACAGCTCAATAGCGTCTTCTTCTTCTTCTTCGTCGTCGTCCTCCTCTTCGCGGATCCATTTAGAGGTTTTTTTTTCCATTTTTCGAAATTCTGTTTTCTTTCATATTTTCGTGAATGTTGGTGTGTGTTTTTCTCTGCTCGTTGTTTTGGCAGTCGGGTTTTTGTTTGATTTTCAGTTGAATTGTTGATCTATTTCGGTTCCGATTGCTAAAGTGTTTGAATCTTCTGCATTCCTGTACTGGGACTGTAATGGCGCCTCTGAATTTCGCTGATTGCTGCTATACTCGTGAGCTGCCTGAGCTAGGGGTATAGGGAGGGAATTTCACTCTCGCTTTCTGATTCTGGGAATTGGGAAATGGGTCTGATCCGTTTGATGCAACCTCACTGTTCTGGGTAGCGAAAATTTAGATGGGAGCATGCAAAGGTTGTGCATTTGATAGATTGTGGCGAGCTTGATGTATAATTGAGGAGAAGTAATTTCGTTTCGAGATTAATAATGCATTGACCTCACTCTAGGGTTCTTCTGCTGTGTATTTGTAGATTTTACTTTGATGATTTGGGCAAGCTATCTCGTAGATGGCCTTGCTGTGTTCCACAATAAAGGATGTGAATTCTAGAGATTCATTGTTCCAAGAAGTTTTCGTTTCAATTAAACTTTATCTTTTCTCATTGTGAGCTTGATGTGGTTATTAATGTGGATGTTGGTAATGTCTTTGGAAATTGCTTTACCCGGTTCGAGTTTGCACAGATTGAGTAATCCTCATTGAGATACTTATGAAACCTTCTTCTTTGTTTCCAGGAGGACCACTCTTTTTTAATTTGTGCGTAATTATGGCGTCATCGAGCAGATGATTATATGCTTCGAGGAGAACATACATGCTGGAGTCTGTTCTTTCCGATGATTGGTTGTAGTTATACTAGGCTTGAACAGTGCCATCATGGGCATCTGTCTGATGAAATGCTGCTCCTCATGGCTTCTTCTGACCTCATTGCTTTGTGCCCTAACAAATAGAAATCGCGCAATTAGTCCTGATGGTAAAAACAATACATTTCCCTTGCTTGTTCGCATGTGTTTGTGCTTCAAGGTTGGATGATCACCATTGATTTCATTGTAAACCTCAATAGGGCTCTCAACCCCTTTCGCATCTTTTTCTAATTCTCCAGGTGAGGCACTTCTGAGTTTCAGAAATGGAATTACTAGTTCTGATGGTGTCATCGGTCAGTGGAGACCCGAAGATCCTGATCCATGTAAATGGAAGGGGGTGACATGTGATGTGAAAACCAAACGAGTTATAGCTTTGTAAGTTCTGAATTTGTTTTTCGTGGATTTTGAACCTTAAGATGCTTTACATTCTTTTCGTTCTCTAATCTTTCACATGTGCAGGAGTCTTACATATCACAAACTAAGTGGACCTTTGTCTCCGGCTCTCGGGAAACTTGACCAGATGAAGCTTCTGTATGTTCTTTCTTACCTTGTTTCTTTCTAACTTTTGCTTAGAATATGCTTGTACCCTGCTGATTATATTTGTATTTGTGTGTCATTGCAGAATGCTTCACAACAATAATATCTATGGGTCAATACCTACAGAATTGGGTAATTGCACAACATTGCAGGGAATGTAAGTCCATTCCCAACACTTATGATAATCTTACATCATTCTAAGAACCAAAGGGTTTTGTCATACTCATCAGAATTTTTACTTAGCTTACAAGAATGAGAGAGAGAGTCTCTAAAGTTTTAATTTTTTTTTTCATGCATTTCTTTCCTTCCATGTTTTATGCAGATACTTGCAGGGCAACTACTTGAGTGGATCAATCCCAAGTGAACTGGGAAACCTGTCAGAGCTTCAAAATCTGTATGTCGCTCCATTCCATATCTTTGTAGAAAACATGTGCATTCTTTGGCTCTGCACTCTGTATTTTTTTTTACCATTCTCGTAGTGACCCCTATATATATCACTTGCCCAAATTCAAAAAAGATACGCAGATTGTATTCCTCGCAGCAAGAAATACAACGTTGAGCTTGTTTATTGAGAGGCTCTACTCTCCCCTTTCCTCACTTTCTCTCTATTTTTCTGGATACCTCTCACCATACAGACTCACCATAGATATAGGACTAGCTAATTAACCAGCTGATGTGTCAGCATAAACGACAGCTAGGCAAAAATAGAAATAAGAAATGACCGACAGGTGATAACAACCTTGGAATCTTCATAACGGATTTTATTCTTCTCCCATGCGTTCCTTGCTCCCCTTAATTCAGCGTCCCATTAGACTTCTCCTTCTTCTGGGCTTGTCTCTTGCTGGGCCGCCTCCTTCTTCCTGGTGCGTCTCCTGACGAAGGCCCGAAATGGCTTATCAATACCCCGCCCCTGGAGACGAAGCTTGTCCGCAAGCTTAAAATCTGGGAATTGCTCTGCGATGAACTCAGCTAGCTCCCAGGTTACGTCGTGTCGAGGAGTGTTCAGCCATTCAATCAGAACTTCCAGTTGACCCTGGGAGTTATAGCGGCTGTCAAGCAGTGATTCAGGAGTTGCCAGCAACTGGAGGTCTGCAGACAGTTGAGGCGGAAGTGCCGATGGTTGAAAATCCGAGCCAACCGCCTGTTTCAGCTGGGACACATGAAAAACCGGGTGAACTTTGGACTCGGGTGGAAGGATAAGGCGATAAGCAACTTGCCCGATGCGGGCCTGCACCTCAAAAGGCCCATAGAACCTTGCTGCCAGCTTCTGAAAGGGTCGACGAGCCAACGACTGTTGCCGATATGGTCTGAGTTTCAAGAAAACCCAGTCCCCTGGTTTGAAAATCACCTCCCTCCGATGAGAATCCGCCTGAAACTTCATCCGTTGCTGTGCTCGCATGAGGTGCTGTTTAAGTTCAGTGAGCATGACATCTCTGTCCAGCAATTCCCGCTCGAGTTCGAAATTAACGGTTGAACCCCTCTCAAAACGAATAATGTGGGGAGGTTCCCGACCATAAACCGCTGCAAATGGAGTTGTCTTTAGGGAGGAATGGTACGAAGAATTGTACCAGAATTCTGCCCAGTGGAGAAACTTAGCCCATTGCCTCGGATGACTGCAAGCAAAACAGCGGAGGTATGTCTCTATACAGCGGTTAACCACCTCCGATTGCCCGTCCGTTTGTGGGTGGAAAGCCGTGCTGAATTTGAGTTTCGTCCCAGCTAAACGGAATAACTCTGTCCAGAAATTGCTGAGAAAAACCCGATCACGGTCAGATACTATGGATTTGGGAAACCCATGTAAACGTATTACTTCTTTGGCAAACGCCCGGGCCACATCGACTGCCGAGAAGGGATGCTTCAGACAAATAAAATGCCCATACTTCGATAATCTGTCGATGACCACCAAGATGACATCGAAACCCGTGGAGCGAGGAAGTCCTTCTATAAAGTCCATTGATAGGTCTTCCCATATACTGTCCGGAATGGGCAGCGGTTGTAATAACCCCCCTGGCGAGAGAGTCGAATATTTCTGCTGCTGGCAGATGAGACACTTAGCCACATACTGTTGTATGGTCTGTTTCATACCTTCCCAGTAAAACATAGATTGGATGCGTTTGAGGGTTTTTAGAACCCCCGAGTGACCACCCATTGGTCCATCATGAAATTCCTGAAGGATCAACGGAATGAAGGTTGAAGAACTCGGAATGACAAAACGATCTTTGTGGAGAAGGTTACCTTGGCGGATATGAAACCCGGCCGGAGCCTCCGAGTTATTTTGTAACCTGCTTACAATGGTCGAGAGGACAGGATCAGCTAGTACTTCCCTGCGAACCTCCTCCAATTGAATGGACTGTGGGACAGATAATGCATACAGCATGGTGAGGGATGCAATTCCTGACGAGACTGGAATCCTGGAAAGTCCGTCTGCTGCCTTATTCTCGATACCCGGTTTGTACACAATCTCGAAGTCGTATCCCAGCAATTTTGAAAACCAACGCTGATATTCCATAGAGACTTCCCGTTGTTCCAGCAGAAATTTCAGTGCTCGTTGATCCGTATGAACAACGAATTTCCTACCCATTAAGTAGTGACGCCACCTTTGGATTGCGAGGACGATGGCCATAAGTTCCCGCTCGTAAATAGGCCTGATCTGTTCTCTCGCAGAGAGAGATCTGCTGAAAAACGCAATGGGTCTGTGTTTCTGCATCAATACCGCGCCGATCCCAAACCCCGAAGCGTCCGCTTCCACCACAAATAGGTCTGTAAAATCCGGTAGTGCCAAAACAGGGGCTGTGAGCATAGCCTGTTTGAGTTGGTTGAAAGCCCTGGTCGCTTCCTCTGACCAGACGAAATTATCCTTCTTGAGGAGTTGAGTTAATGGCTTTGCTATGATCCCGTAGTGCTGGACAAATCGCCGATAGTACCCCGTTAATCCCAAAAATCCTCTGAGCTCGCGGATGTTTGTAGGATGGGGCCACTCCTTGACCGCGACCGTCTTACTCGGATCGGTGGTGACTCCTTCTCTGGAAATCACATGACCCAAATAATCAATTTGGCTCTTGCCAAATTGGCATTTGGACAGGTTTGCATACAGCTGATGATGCTTGAGAGTAGCCAGAACTTCGCGCAGATGGTTTTGATGGCCCTCCATTGTCTTACTGTACACGAGTATATCATCAAAAAAGACTAAAACGAACCGGCGAAGGAATGGACGAAAGATGTCATTCATCATTGCTTGGAAGGTGGCCGGTGCATTTGTCAATCCGAAAGGCATTACCAGAAATTCGTAGTGCCCTTCATGCGTGCGGAAAGCAGTCTTTGCGATGTCTGCCGGCTTCATACGGATTTGGTGATAACCCGACCTCAAATCCAGTTTCGAAAATACCACAGCTCCAAATAGCTCATCCAACAGTTGGTCAATCATCGGGATTGGGTACTTATCTGGAATTGTGACCCGGTTTAAGGCCCGATAGTCAACACAAAAGCGCCAGCTCCCGTTTCTCTTTCGGACTAACAGAACAGGGCTGGAGAAAGGGCTTGTGCTTGGGCGAACGATGCCGGCTTGTAACATCTCGCTGACCAGTCGTTCAATCTCGCCTTTGTGGGCATGAGGATATCTGTATGGTCTAACGCTGATCGGGCCTGTGTTCGGCTGAAGTGGTATTCCGTGTTCGTTACCTCTCTCGGGTGGGAGACCATGAGGTTCAGCGAACACCCCCTCAAACCGGGAGAGTATGGGCTGGAGTGATGGTGGAATGTCCGATTGTTTCGTGGTGTTCCTTTCGACAGAGCTGAGATCAACCAAATACCCATTGTCTCCCTGTGATACGGATTTAAGCAGTGATTTAAATGTTACCAATGATTTATGCAGGAGTGGATCCCCCGTCAGTGTGATTGTCGATCCATCCCTTTCAAATCGCATCTCCAGCTTGTCGAAATCCAATAATATCCTCCCCAAGGTCCGAAGCCACTGAACGCCCAAAATTATGTCGGCACTGCCTAACTCGAGGAGAAGCAGGTCCGTCCATATGGTGACATCCTGGAGTTGTAGGCGAACGTTCCGGCAAATCCCATTGCCGCGCACTGTCAACCCCGTGCCCAGTGATACGCCGTAGTGTGGAATCGATTCCGGCGTAAGGTGTAACTGGGAAACCACGGCAGCTGAAACAAAATTATGCGTTGCGCCCGAATCGATTAGTACCACCACTGGTCTCTCATTGATGAAACCCCGGACTTTCAGAGTTTTGGGAGATGTAATGCCCATCATTGAATTTAACGAGAGACCCGCCATTTCTGTTACGTCGCCGTTGGTATCATTGGTGGCCAGCTCCGAAGGTTCAGAACTCGGGTCTGGTGGTGCATCCTCGTCTTCGACTACCAAAACCTGCAAATCCCGATTCTTGCAGCGGTGCCCAGGGAAATACCTTTCATCACAACGATAACACAGGCCCCTCTTGCGCCGATCCTCCATCTGAGAATCGGAAATCCGGCGAGGGTTGAACACCGGAGACGGCGACACAATGTCTGAAGCTGGGACAGGAGTTGTCGGTGGGAAAGAAGAACCCAGACCTTCGTTCTTTTTAGAGTTATTGCCACGTGTCTGCCAAGAAGAATTATTTGTTGGCAGTGATACTGTCCGAAACGCAGCCGTATTGGGCCCAGGCTGTTTGAAAGCCCGGTTCTCTCTCGTTTTGGGCCAGGCCGCTGGATGGCAAAGAGGGTTGCGATCGAAGCGTATTGCCATCGAAATGGTCTGGGCCAGCCCGGAAGGGTGAAATAGGTCCAGCATGTCGCGTAATTCGGGTCGAAGCCCGTTTCGGAAAACACCTTCGAGAAACTCGTGTGGGCAGTGACGCAGCTGAGCTAGAATTTCTTCAAAATCTCGCAAATAGTCGAGTACTGTAGATGTCTGGCGCAACGTCAGCAAGCGGTTGATGACGGACCCCGAAATCATCTCGTCGAACCTTTCCAAAATACGAAACTTGAAATCTCGCCAGTCCAAAAAGGGTTGATTTTCCTGCTGCCAGTTATACCAGTGGAGCACTTCGCCGTCGATGCTCATAGCAGCAAGGGCCAACCGTTCTCCGTCAGGGATTTTACCGAGTGTGAAATAACGCTCGGCACGCACAATCCAACCTGCGACATTACAACCTTCGAAAATGGGCATTTCAATCTTACGAAGGTTAAGCTCGGTACCAGCGATATATGGAGCCCCGGTCTCCTCGATGGTCGCTGGTCTCTGGGCGTCGATGATGGTCTGGAGTAAGAACCCCGGAGGTAGCGGAGTGGAGTCGACTGGTGCCTTCCCATCACGTCGGAACAGTTCCTGGGCACAAGAGGATGGTTCAGCGGAATCGGCTGTTGCCGGTGATGGTTGTTCACGCATCTCACCGAGCAGGAGGCACAGCTTTTCCAGTAACTTTTCCATCGCCGGTATTTTGGCGACGTCCTTCTGCAACCCGATGACGCTGGATTGCAACTCTCCCATGTTGGTTTGAATCGAGCCCACGCTAGTCTCCAGATGAGAAAACCTAGTGTTGACTGAATCCTCCAAATCCGTGCGGTGTTGATCTTTCGGCGGCATGGCTGGATCGCTGTGGCTCTGATACCAATGTAATACGTTTGTAAAAAAAAGATACGCAGATTGTATTCCTCGCAGCAAGAAATACAACGTTGAGCTTGTTTATTGAGAGGCTCTACTCTCCCCTTTCCTCACTTTCTCTCTATTTTTCTGGATACCTCTCACCATACAGACTCACCATAGATATAGGACTAGCTAATTAACCAGCTGATGTGTCAGCATAAACGACAGCTAGGCAAAAATAGAAATAAGAAATGACCGACAGGTGATAACAACCTTGGAATCTTCATAACGGATTTTATTCTTCTCCCATGCGTTCCTTGCTCCCCTTAATTCAGCGTCCCATTAGACTTCTCCTTCTTCTGGGCTTGTCTCTTGCTGGGCCGCCTCCTTCTTCCTGGTGCGTCTCCTGACGAAGGCCCGAAATGGCTTATCAAATTCCCTCTCCATTTCAAGCTTCCCAGAGTCAACCATGTAGTTGACAGCAAAAGCTACTTATCACTCTCCATGCTTTAACAATTCTGAAATTGACTATGCCTCTAATTGTTGTGAACCTTAAATGGCCTCGTGAATTAGATAGACATGAAGTTGCACCTAATTCCTGATAATCAGGTATCAGAACTCATTTTTTAATATCCACCAACCATATTATATTGTCAACTTCGTGATGGATGTAAAACTCATAGACATGAAGGTACCATATTGTTTTACACTGAGTTATTGTTGATTTTTAACAAATTTCTTTCTCCAGGGACATCTCGAGCAATTCTCTGAGTGGAGCTATCCCTGCCTCGCTTGGGCATTTGGAAAAGCTTACGGAATTGTGAGTGGCTTCTTGCAGGCGCTGCTATCTTTTAAAACTTTCATGCTTATTTGTCAAGGTTTCACAGCCGGTGTTACTAACTATGCTGATCTTTGTTCTTTTGAAGCAATGTCTCAAACAATTTTCTGGTGGGGCAGATACCATTTGATGGAGTGTTTGCTAAATTTCTAAAGGACTCGTAAGTACAATTTACCATTACCCTTTTTCCCCGTCCACAGTTTGAGAATAGAGAGAGAGAGAGGTTCTAAAGAAATCTTCTACACAGATGTTCTGTTATATTTGAGATTAGGTCACTGGGAACATTTTAACAGCATCATTTTGCTAGCTTGTCTGGATATGAAAGTGAGAAATAAAACAAAGGTTCCTATCTTGATTTCTGAAGTGGTGTATCTGCAGCTTCAATGGGAATCTTAAATTGTGTGGAAAGCAAATTGATGTCGATTGCAAAGATGACAGTGGAAACCCTTCCAGAGATTCCCAGTCTACAACAGGTAAATCAATAAATCGGTCTCAATCAACTTGCTCTCATCAGTATACTCTACTGGTTATTGACTCATTTAGCAGTTTCATGAAATTGACTGTCCAATGTTATGATACTGATGAAACTATATAATCTGCCTTACAATTGTATGTCAAAATCAAGGAGGGAAGAAGAATTCAGGCCAGCTGCTCATTAGTGCTTCAGCAACCGTTGGAGCACTGCTTCTGGTGGCGCTTATGTGTTTCTGGGGATGCTTTCTTTATAAAAAGCTCGGTAAAGTCGAGAGCAAAAGCCTTGCAATGGATGTTGGTGGAGGTGAGGCATATACTGAAACTCTCTGAATGGATAATCTGTCCATAGAATCTCGTAAGTTTTCAGTTTAGAATTTCACGAAATGACCAATGAGTATCGATCGATATGCTTTTTTTTTTTTTTTGTAAATTTAGGTGCATCTATTGTGATGTTCCATGGAGATTTTCCCTACTCTTCCAAGGACATTATCAAGAAGCTGGAAATGTTGAATGAAGAGCACATAATTGGCATTGGAGGCTTCGGAACGGTATACAAGCTCGCCATGGATGATGGCAATGTATTCGCCTTGAAAAGGATAGTAAAGTTGAACGAAGGGTTTGATCGGTTTTTTGAGAGGGAGCTCGAAATTCTGGGAAGCATCAAGCATCGTTACCTAGTGAATCTACGTGGATATTGCAATTCTCCCACTTCAAAGCTACTGCTATACGATTACCTGCCGGGTGGTACCCTTGATGAAGCTCTTCATGGTAAGACCCTCTTCTCTCTTTAACGGTTTTTATTATCGCTATTACCACCGAAAATAATATAAATTTCGATTTTCGTAGAGAGAGGCGAGCAGCTCGACTGGGATTCACGTGTAAATATCATAGTAGGAGCGGCAAAAGGGTTAGCGTATTTACATCATGATTGTTCTCCGAGAATTGTACATCGCGATATAAAGTCCAGCAACATTTTACTCGATGGAAATCTCGAGGCTCGGGTATCTGACTTTGGACTTGCCAAGTTGTTGGAGGATGGGGAATCTCATATTACGACCATTGTAGCAGGAACATTCGGATACTTGGCTCCAGGTATTCAATGGAAATTTCCTCGAGCCTTGCAATCTATTACAAGAACTCGCCATTAAATCCCTGTTCTTGTTTCGATGGCAGAATATATGCAAAGTGGCAGGGCAACTGAGAAGACCGACGTTTATAGTTTTGGGGTTTTGGTTCTCGAAATCTTGAGTGGAAAAGGACCCACCGATGCCTCCTACATCGAGAAAGGCCTCAACATTGTTGGATGGGTAAAATCCCGAAAGTTTCCAACTTTTTACATTCTCTTCCCAATAATCTTTTACCCCAATTGACATTTGTTTCTGATTGACCAATCTCTGCAGCTAAATCTCCTAATCAGCGAAAACCGACCACGGGAAATCGCTGATCCTAACTGTGAAGGGATGCAGATGGAAAACCTCGATGCTCTTCTATCGATCGCTACCCAGTGTGTCTCGTCCAGTCCCGAAGAGCGACCCACGATGCATCGAGTTGTCCAGTTACTTGAATCCGAGGTCATGACCCCTTGCCCGAGTGACTTCTATGATTCAAATTCCGATTGATTCACCTGAAATTGCTAATGTACTACCCGGAACTGGAATTTTTTCGCCGACTGGTTCGTTTCCGGGGAATTCTGTAACACCCTTCTGGATTCGGAATGCATCCCCATAAACCATTTCAGGGATTCTACAGGATGATGAATTCACCTGATAATGTTCAAGAACAGATGTCATTTCCTGTGATGGAGAGAAGTCTCAGATGCCAAATTTCTTTCCCAAATTTACAGGTTGGAAGCCATTCATTTCAGCCTCTCTTTTTTTTTTTAACTTTTGTTTTGAAGTTTCTGAAATTGGCAAACAAAAACACTTGATTTTGATTATGAAATTGAATGTACATGACCTTGTTTGTATGTCTTCTGATCTGAATAAACCATGGTTTCTTTTGTTGATTCTGCATCTTCATCACCTAGAATCTCAGTATCCAAACTCTTCAAGATTCTATTTTGATGATGCTTCTGTATCATTCACACCAAAATAATTATGGGTTTTACATGTTTCACAAAAAAAAAAAGTTAGATTTAAAACAAGTTTTGCAACAAAAAGTTGAATCTTATTCCCCTAACAAATTACAGAAGAAGACCCAAAAGTAGCAGACCCACAACACAAAACAAAGAAACGGCATATAGAAATTATGATACAAGAAAAACAAGCTACAGATAATAATCTCACACACAAAGATCATATTTACTAAGGGCTATATATATATATATTGAGAAAGATTACTGCTTGGGCTTTGCTTCCATGAGTTTAGTTGCAGGTGCTTTGTCTTGTTTCTCGACATAAGCTGATGGGAACCATCCGGCTTTGCCTTTACATTCTCCTTCCGACCATCCGTTAGTAGCCACCTTTTGTCCATTCATTACAACACCAAACAAAACCAAGAAATTGCATATGCATAAACATCAAAACACACCATTTATTCAACACCTATATTCTGAACTTTTCATGCTTACGTTCACGACATGGACGATGCGAGGAACATACCTTTCGAACGATGACGTAATCATCGACCCCGAGGCTCAATTCCCCATCTGATTGGGCATCAAACGGATGCACAACCTGTAAGCAAGAAATTTTTTTTAACTCTTCAAGATCATTATTCCAGTTTCATGTTAGAGTGATGATTCTAACCGATACCCGGGAAGAAGAAAGGCGATACACGGGGAAGAAGAAAGGCAAAATATGGGGATTAGGATTTAAAAAGGCTTTTTACCTTTGCAAGAAAGTTGGAATCTTTCTGATTGCCTGGTTGAAGGTGATGATTATCCCGAGATCCATTTGATTTGGTTACTTCTTCGGGATGGGCATCAGTCACATTCTCGATGGATAGCGGCTGTGGAGATGATTCCGTAGCTTCTTCCTCAGTGACCATCTGAACATTACGAGGAAATCAAGACCTAAGTGACTGGTAACCTAATGCTTGATATTTATCCGTTATTTATATATCGCAAGATTCAGACCTCAGAATATAGCTTATCAAGGATACCAAGAGCATGACGATGGTAAGTTCTCTCAGCTTCAACCTGTATAGAAATTACCATTTTCGAAGTTAACACATGGAAATAATAAAAAGAAAAAAACTCAAAACCTTAGGATTGTACTCAATAGTAGAATATCTGTCGCTTCGAGTTTATATTTTTGCAGAACATTGGGATATATTAGAAAAGAACAAAGCCCCGGAGTTGTTAAGCACGATCTTTTACAGGGTGAGTTTAAACGAACGTAAAGAAAAGCGGGAGATTACTACCAGAGCAAGGAGCCGTTGAGAAGTTATTTTCTGCTGTTGACCCTCGACTTCCAACATGGCAGTGGTGGCTTCTTTCCCAAGTGCCTTCATACCGGTTTTGAGCTCCGCCAATCTCGATTCAGCATTCTTGAGCTTCATGTAACTTTCTTCAGAAATATCAGAGTCCTTTAACTTTGATCTTCGCCTCAGTACATCTGCTGCCTGATTCAGAGTTTCATCTTGCAATGAATGTCCAAGAATTCTCCAATAGAATCATCAAGAAACCAAAAAAAAAAGGTAACGACTTTTACCTGCGCTTCAACTTCTTGACGCAACCTGTCATAACGATGGACTAAATGCCGAGCATCTTCTAGAGGGGCACTATATACCATGGTACGAATTGGCTCACAAACCTAAACAGTCAAAACCTCGAAACATCATTAGAGATGGTGAACTATGCACGAAAATACAGACACGGGTAAGTATCCATGTGGTATGTGCTTGTATTTTGTGTATAGTTAATTACACATAGTTCCAAAAGGAGTGACATTGCTTAAAGTACAAGGAACCAAATTCCGAAATTACCTGTTCACCAAGAAAACCGAGGAGAGTTTCCCTCTCATCTTCCATTGACTTGTACGAGTCCCCGAAATGAAGAGCGGCTCTTGCAAGAGGCGTGTTGCCATTTTGATTCTCGTCCCCATATCTTTTACAATCTTCAGCCAACTTCCGGCCTATACATTACATCCAACAAGAATTTTATCGTTACGTCCTGAAAAAAACATGCAACAGATTGAACCAAAGGAACAGAACTTACCAATCTCTAGTAGTTTCGTGCTCGTAGCAATAAACACTTCAAGTCCACGAACAATACTCCTTTGCAAGCGCTGTGAGCAGAAGAAGAATAAGAAGAACCTTATTTTTTCGGAAACTTTAAACTTTAAAGAATAAGAAGAAGCTTATATAGGTTTATGGCAATATTTGCAGAGTTTATGTATTTTGGTAGATTGTCAAAGTCTGTGTATATTTGTATGAGAATTTCCGAAAGTTCATGTTTTTTTCTCGGGCGATTGTCGCTATAACAAAAACCACTGAGATTTTGGGGTAAATCCTTGTTGAAAGATTGTTTCTTTTTCTACCTTTGCTGCCTTTGTAGAAGTATACAGATCTTGAAGTTTCTGATGACAATGAAGCTCCTCTTCATCCACTACTACAGCATCAGCATTCACATGCCCCAAATGCTTCAATACCGCCTTCACCATTAAAACCCCAACACGATCAGACATAAACTCGAGGCAAGAACTCGTCTTTCTCAACTACCAAACAGAACCAATCGATACAAAACTGGTGAAAACAATCAAAGGTCCAATCTTTTTTTCCATTTATAGATCTAAATTGGAAGAGAAAACAAACCAAGACAGTATTTTTTCATATGAGTAACCATTCCTTATGTCAGCAAATGGCGTCAAAGCTTCAAAAGCTCCACTCTATAAATCATCATCTCCGTGGAAAAAATTGACTGAAAAACACGAAATAGAAAAGGACCCACTTGCTGTTGTCTCGCGACTTGCTCTCTGAACTTCGCCGCCTGCTTTCTTATGGCTTCCATGGCGGAAAAACAAAACCAAACAGTAAAGCCGAACTCGGTCTTTCCTCGTACCAGCGAATGCTTTCTTCAGTAGAAAGCCACAGATCGAGGGAAAAGGCGACGGATTCCGGAAAAGGGTAGTTGAAATTTCTCAGGTAGACGAAGGAGCGAAGTCATACAAGGAGAGGGAAAGTCGAACTTTCGCCATGGATGCTTTGCCTTTACAGGTGGTGGAGTTGAAGCATATACAGTTTCTGTACGAGTGGTCTTGATTTTGCCTCATTAAACTTCAATTTAATTCCGTTTAATGATCTTAATGGCTTTTTAATTATTTAATTAGAGACTAAATGATGTATGCTTCCTTTGTCTTTGTTGAAATGTCATTGTTCAATGACTTTTCATTGGACCGCCCAAAAAAAATAAAGTTTCCCATTTCAACAAAGCTATAATTATTATTATTGAATAATTAACCAAAACTATTATCTTCACTAATTTATCATGATAAATTAAAAACTAAGATAAGAAAAATAGTTGTAATCCTTCTATATTTCCAATTTGTGTTATATGTTATTTAGATTATTTTTCAATTTACTTTATTAGTTTTTTCAATAAAAAATCCCAAAAAAATATATCCAAACTTTTCAATTTTAAAAAAATTATTTTTTTATTTTATAAATATTGTCTTTTTTAAAGTTCGACAAACGTTGAATAGTAAATATCATAAGTATCAATTTATGATTTTAATATATGATGATGTAGATAATAACATATATGGTACAGTTAAAATCACAAATTCATACAATAATTGAATTTTAAAATGATAACTTTTATAAAATTTAGATTTTTTTTAATATAAAAAATGAATTCGGATTTTATATGAAAAAAATAGAGTTTAGTTTTTTTTTAAAAAAATTAATTATTTTTTTATGATTTTCCCTTTTTTTCAAATACCTCTCGATTCATATACGAATTTATATCGGTTTTTATTATTTTTAAATACATATAAATCCATATATCAATTAAAAAAACTGCCTCTCACGATTCATGAATCAAAACTTATATATACTATGAAATATTGATTCCAAATTCTCTTAATCATCAAAATCAAGATCTTTTTATGAAAGTGAATATTCATTCCCAACTCTCTAATCATCAAAATCAAATCTTGAAGAAGTCTGCTTTTTTGCTGTTCTTATAATCTCCGCAGCTTCTCGTCGCATTTTCTGCTGCTCCTTGATTGCTTTCTTCAGCAATTTTCTTTGCTCCTCCACTGATAATTTCCCTAAATCAGACAAGAATCCATCAAAGTCGACAGCTTTATCACGATCGAGTGATTTGCTGCTCTTCTTCTTCGTTGTCTTGTTGTCGGATGATTTGTTTGGAGATCGCCACATGATGCAACCGAGGGATTTCGATGGAGATAACAGATTCGACCATGAGTTTGATGATGGTTTGGACCTTGTTCTATGTTCTGGATTGTCTGGATCAGATGATGGCGGCGATGAATCTGACCTGATTCTGGGTTTCTCATTGGGAGGTTTCTGGGTTTGTTTGGCAGGCGAGAAAATTTTCCTCTCCCTTGAGGAATTCGATGAACTCGAACCGATTTTCCCAGAATCAGAGGAATCCCTAAACCCATCCGGAGGAAACCCAGATCGAGGATTCTTCCTCAAACCCGATTTCTCACCCGGATTGCGTCTGTTTCCCGAGAAAACCCGCGAATCACTGACAGAACTAGAATTCTTCGTATCACCAAATTTCCCGCCTGGGTTCCGTTTGTTTCCCGAGAAAATCCTCTGTTCATCACCACCAGACGAAGCAGAAGAATCCAATCCACTGACCCGGTTCTTCACCGGGTGGCCAAACTGCTTCTCCTTCGATGAAGATGATGGAGATTTCGTGTCCGGAATCGATTTGAGGCGACGGAATCGGGACTCGAGATCATCGGGAAGAAGAACAGAGTCGATGAAACCAGAACAGTTCATGGCGGCGACTTGCTCAAGAACAGAGAGCTCCTCGGTCTAGGAAATCAGCTCCTCCACAGCTGAATCGTCTGTGTCAGGTAGAAACCCTAAATCCGCCATCCTTGCCTGAGATTTCCCTTGAACCCAAAGATCGAAATTTCTAGGGTTTACAAAGGAATGTGAAATTCGCTTCAACGGCTAAAAATTCATGCTTTTGTCGTTGCCCTGCCCCTCTCTCTCTCTCTCTCTCTCTCTCTCTCTCTCTCTCTCTCTCTCTCCACTCGTCGTGACTTCAAAAATCACATCAATTTCTCAATTAATTGAAGTAATTTTTAATAATATAAAGGAAAATTATGGAAATTAATACTTTTAATTTGATTTGATTATTTTTTACTCTTTCCATTTTTAATATAAAGAAAAATTATGGAAATTAATACTTTTAATTTGATTTTACGGCGTGTAGTGGTTATTTTTTACTCTTTCCATTTTTATTACTAAATTTTTGCTTTATAAATTAGTTGGATTGAAAAATGGAATTTTTACTATTCTCTGATTTCTCCAAATGAATATTTATTTTTCTATATTTGGTATAGTTCTGTAAAAAAACATATAATAAAGGAAAACAAAACCATTATAAATTATAATAGTCATTATAATTTTATGTTATTTTTCTACTAGATTTATACCAAAAATTTTCTAATTTTGTATGTTTTTATACAAACTTAAAAGTTTATTTATTTATTAATCAAATTTAAGAATTCATTTTTTACGATACCCCCTATAAATATATATAAATTCAATATATTTTTTCGGGTATGCAAAAATTCGTATATGTAAACAATAATTAATGAGGCTAAAAAGATTACGAATAAAAGAATCCGAGAATGTCGGAACCGGAGACAGTAACTACATTGCTGGTGAAACCTATCCATTAAAAACCCGGTTTAAAACCGGTTTTGATCTAACCGGTGATAAACCGATCTGGTTTTAACAAAGAGCAAGAAGCTAGAAACGAGACCGAAAACTGACAAGCATCCCCACACGAGGAACGTTCTTAAGTAACATTCTTTACCAACGCAAACAACCGAATCCGAAACCACAGATTTCGTTCCGGAATTCGTATTCGATTCGTATAAATACGAAGCTATATAACCGTATACGAAAGAGCCAATGGGAATGTTGGTGATGAGAATGTTCTGGTTTACACCTACGCTGTTGCGGCCGAAGAGATCGGAAGTAATGGAGACAGCCGATGCGAAGATGAAGCCCGAGCTCAGACCAATCATGGCAGTTGCTGTCTGAATCGTCATTCGACATGTCGGAGATGAAGCCAGGATGAAGAATGCGATAGGGGTCGGTATGAGAGCGATGGTAAACCAACCAGTTCTTGTCAATTCAAATTTCCTGCAAGAACCGAAGACCGGTTAAGAGGGAAAAACATACTATGGCATAGAGACTATGTATATATAGAGGTTCTGGGCACAGTCGTCCGAATTTTCGAGCATCCGACTCGATTTATGAGTTGGATATTCAAAACTCGGGTACTTGTAATTGGTAGGACCGAGTCCGAGACCGACGATGACGAGAACCCGAAATTTGAGCTCGAGTTTTGGTCGGTGATTATCCGTGTCCCAGGAGTATCCCGGCCAAAAGATTCGAAGAGGGCGAGAACGAGCACTAGGCATGTCGGACAAGACGACGTCGGAAAAGGATAAAAGGGCGATTTAAGGTTGTCTTTTCCTTTTTTTAGGTATTGCTCGCCTAACCATAACCTTAACTTCCTCGTCGCTCGCTTCCAACTTCTCGACTTCGCCTTAGTCTCGGATGCCTCGACCTCGCTTCGGGTACGTACATTTACTCGCCTCGTGCTTGTGGCTTCGCCACCTCACCAACCGATAACAAGAAAATATCGAACATTTGGAATATTCCAACGAATACTCAAAAATCGGGTACCCAATCGCATGGACACCGAATTAAGTAATCCGAGATGCCCGACTTGTGCCCAACCCTATACCATGATATGGACCGGATACTAAAAAACGCAATGTAGATACTTACTTTCGAGTAAAATCCGGAGCGGACGAGAGCAGTCTTCCGAAGAAGGAGAATGACGAGAAAACCGTGACAAGGGTCTTGGCATCCGAACTGCTCTGTCCTAAAGACTGAGCGATCTGTCCCAAGTTGTTGCTGTAAACAAGACCGATGGTTCCTCCGCAAAAATACGCTAAGTAATATAACCAAAACTCGATTCTTCGTATAAGCAACGACAACGAGTGTTCATCCCCGATCTTCACTATCTCTATCTCCTCTCTTCTCTTCCGATCCGACGACAGATCAGAAGCTAACCCTTTAAGAATCTCCGGCTCGTCCATATCGACAATCACATATCCTGAGCTTTGATGACCGAGGCAAGAATCGCGAAGAAGGTAATCGAAGGCGAAAACAAGAACGGGAATCGACAAGGGGAGAACGAGGAGGAGAATCGCCCCGAGGAGATGAAGAGGAGGGGACAAAGATATAGGGAAGAGGAGGTAGAAGCAAGTGATGAGGGCCAAGACATTCAAAGAGACAAACACGTGACTGTCGTGTCGGGAAATCCCGTGGCTCGGAGACGTGTCTAGAGAGGGTTTCGTCGTGACGGGGTAAAGGGCGAGGGCCGAGACGAAGAACGGGACGAGAGAGTTCAAGAGAAGGTAGAGGGAAGATGCCGAGGAAGGGCTGATCGATTCGTGAACGAGGTTGTATAAAGCAGGGCTGACGCCATTGAAGCTGACTACGAGAGAAAGGGCGAGAGAATGGCTTGATGTGAAATGCTGAATGCAGAGAACGAAGCAGACCGTGTTGAACCAGCAGATGCTTAGCCCTGCTAACGAACAGCTTACCAAAACCTGTAGACAATAAGAGTTTTTTTCGTCATGATTCGGATTCGAAATCGATAATTCTTACAAACACGACATGTTCGGATTCAAAGTTTGAGTTTTGGGTTCAAAAACCAGACAATTTTTACACGAATTACGCAAAAAAGTTCAAGTTCAAACATCGATATAAACTTAAAGTTTTAACCTTTTTATCAGGCGAAATCGAGATTTTGCATAAAACGTTGGTATAAATTCAAAATTCGGGCATTTTTATATAATTTACACGAAAGTTCAAGTTCACATGTCGATATTAACTCATCATTGAAACATTTTTACCGAGTGAAACCGAGATTTCGAGTAAAAAAAAAAAAGCTGGTATGAACTCAAAAATCGAATTTTTTTACGCGAAGCCGAGGTGATCTTCGAGAGCATTTGGTCCGAATACATCTCCCAGAGGATCGGACTCAGGTGAATGGACCTTTCGACGCTTGGGTTTGAACTCGAGCATGTTTTACATGTTATTTCACCACTAGATCACCCAATTTTGGGTTTTTTACGCGATTTATATAAAAATTCAAGTACAAACGTCGATATAAACTCAAAGTTCAAATCTTTTGTAGGGTGAAACCGAGATTTCGAATTAAAAACCTTCGTATTAACTAAAAGATTCGATTTTTTTACGCGATGTATGCAAAGTTCGAGTTCAAACATAAACATGAACTCAAATTTTAAACCTTTTTACAGAGTCAAACCGTAAAAAACATTGGTACGGGCTCAAAGATTCGAACTTTTTTTACCGGGTCGGCTTTCAAAATCGATACAAACTCCAAAGTTGAAACCTTTTTTATATATATTCAAGCGTCCAAAGGAGAAGAATTACCAGAAAATAAGGCAGAGTGATGAAATTGGAGATGACGAACCATTGGACGCCGTAACCGACGAGACCCATGGCCGCGGCGGCGAAGAGGACGCCGGAGAGCGGGAAATACGACAGAGCGAAGCCGGAGGACCAGCCCAGAGCCTTGCCCAAGTCCGAAGCCACCGCCAGATAATTCAGTCTCGACTGAGAAATCTGCAGAACGGATTTCAGGTCCGAGGAATAAGCTGAGAAATCAAAGTTCGTCCCCGTGGAGGCCTGAATCCAAATCGCCGCCACCAGCACCGTCCATCTCCGCCACCACATTAGCATTTCCCGGAACCGCGGAGGCTCCGGCGCCGGAGATTTCTCCGCCGTCGCCGGAGGTTTTGTCGTGATCGGTGGTTGCATTGTCTCCGTCGTGAGGGGTTTGCCCTGAAATGCGTTGGTTATTTAACGGTTGAGGATCTTTTCTTTCCTTTTCTTTTTTTTTTTAAAAAATATTCTATTAGAAGAAAAAAAAAGATTTATTTGGGAAAAAAGTTGGTTTTGTTATTATCTTTAAACAAAAATGTTCCTTCTTTAATTTTTGTTAATGAGATTAAAACAAATTTTGTAAAAATAGAAGGGAGAAAACATGAAAATCGTGTAATAATTCTTGTTAGTTGTAAGACCGTTTGACCAAACCATATGTATGATCGGTGTTGTCTCATAATATTAATGACATAACAAAAAACTTCTTTCAATTTCAATCCCCTAATATATTATGTAAAATAGCGTAGATTACTTATTGGAATGTAAAAAATATGGTAACCATTTTGGAATTGGATATAAAAAAAAAACCGTAAAAAAATATGGTTTATGTAAAAATGAAATATAAGGTTTGAATGGTAGTAATTTTTATTTTAAATTTTTTATTCTTGTATTTTGATATTTGTAAATAAAAAAGTTGAGTTTTTAAATTTATAATCGATTTTTTCATCAAAATAGTTTTTCAAAATTAATTTTCTAAGAACTTGATTATCAAATTTTTTGATTTTTGAATTTTAAAAGGCCAAAAACATTTCCATTTAAGACCATATCTTTTTAAAATAAAAACAAATATAAAACTGAACGGTAATCCGAAATGGTCACCTCCTAAAAAAAAACTTTTGACCATAAAAAAAAAAAAGAGAAAGTTCTGAGCTTCGGACATATGACAAACTAATCCAGTTTGCTTTACAGTATCTGTCCATTCTATTCCACCGAAAACCATTGAAGCTTTGTCTATAGACTATACATTTACATCACTTTCAAGGCAACTCATTTCCCAACATGGGTAACTTGTTTCCTATCGCAAATTCGAGTTATCCGATCCATCTAAATCGTTACAAAGATGCAGTCGAAACCCGGAACTGTTCGATTCGGCGATAAACCGATCGGGTTCTGATGCAAAGCAGCAGACTTGAGACGAGCCCGAGAACGGAAAAACATCCCCACAAGACAAACGTTTTGAAGTAGCATTGTCTTCCTAAGCAAACGACCGAATCCGAAATTACCTGTCTGATTTTGGGTCTTGCATTGGCTTCGTAGACAGAGGCGGATAGGTATCCGTATACGAGGGAACCGATGGGTATATTTGTGATGAGAATGTTGTGGTTGAGGCCTACACTGTTGGGTCCGAAGAGTTCAGATGTGATGGAGACTGCAGCCGCGAATATGAATCCCGAGCTCAGACCGATTAGGGCAGTTGCCGTTTGTACTGCCATTTCTTGCCCGGATGATGAAGCCAGCAGGAAGAACGCTATCGGGGTTGGCAAGAGTGCGATGGTGAACCAGCCAGTTCTCGTTAGACGAAATTTTCTGCAAGAACGGGAATCATGTTAACATGTTGGTCGGGATGGAGAGAATCGGGAGCCATCTCAATTAACATACCAACCCAAGAAACGATTCTTCTTCAAAATTTCAGATTTACAAACGGGAAGATACTTACTTGCGGGTAAAATCTGGTGCGGCTGAGAGCAATCGCCCGAAGAAGGAGAAGGATGAGTAAATCGTGACAAGGGTCGTAGCATTAGAGCTTTGTCCCAAAGACTGAGCAATCTGACCCAAGTTATTGCTGTAAACGAGGCCGATAGTTCCTCCACAGAAATACGCAGCATAATACAACCAAAACTCGATTCTTCGTATGAGTAATCCAAATGAATGTTCATCCCCAAGCCTCACCATGTCATTCCCTTCTTTCAAATTCTTCTGACTTGCATTCCAGTTAGTTGGAGCATTGCCAACTGTGCTTTCGTACCTGGTTTCGTGGGGAACAAACCCTTTATCGATCTTAAGCTCGTCCATGTTAAGCATAACATAACCAGAGTTGTCAATGTGGAACCGGTAGTTAATGGAAGGAAGAAAGTAATCCCGAGCATAAACGAGAAGAGGAGCACACAAGGGGAAAACCAGAAGGAAGATTGCTCCGAGAAAATGCAAACGAGCTGATTCAGCGAAATAGGCACTGGAATTGGACACAAGAAGGTAAAAGCTGGTCAAGACGGCTAAGACATTCAAAACAACAAACACACGGGAATCTTGTTGACAGGTTTCGCTGTCCTGAGATGTGTCCGAAGACGGTTTAGCGAGAACCGGAGGAAGGGAAATGATCGAGACGATAAGGGGAATGAAAGAGTTGAGAAGAAGGTAGATAATTGGGGAAGACGGGTTGACAGCATTGAAAGCGAGCGAGTATAGGGCTGCACTGACGCCATTAAAGCTCACGGTGAGAGACAAGGCGAGGGGACGGTGGTTCGGGAAGTGGCGAATGCAGAGGATGAAACATACAGTGTTGAACCAGCAGATGCTTAATCCAGCTAACAAGCAGCACAGAAAAACCTGTCATGTCGTTTAGACAAGAAGATTAGGTCAATGGTTCAAGAAAGACTGCTCCTCTGTTCTACATTAGCTAAGAACATGAATTCCCAAATCTGATACTCATATCATCGTTACAGGATTGGTGCATTATCAGTGACAGATCCATTCTTTGCTATGCTTTCTTGAGTCGGAATCGGAACAAAAATACGATCATATGAACTATAAGCACCGAATTAGCCGAAAGAAATCCAGAGGAAAGCAATGAAGTACCAGCAAATAAGGCAAAGTGATGGAATTGGTGACGACGAGCCACTGAACGCCATAACCGACGAACCCCATAGTCGCCGCCGCGAAAAGAATGGCGGAGAGCGGGAAATTCGCCACCGCAAGCCCCGACGACCACCCGAAAGCCTTCCCCAGATCCGACGCCACAGCTAGGTAGTTCAACCGGACCTGCGAAAGCCCTAGAACGGATTTCAAATCCGACGAGTACGCCGCGAAATCGAAGTTCGTCCCCGTCGACGCCTGAATCCAGATCGCCGCCACAAGCACCGCCCATTTCCGCCACCGTCCGAGCATGATCCTAATCGGCGGCTTTTTCCGGTGGAGCTTTCCTCCGGCGTCACGTCTGTCCTCGTCGGAGGAATCTCTGAAAAGACCGAATGTATCTGCGGCATCTCGATTGCGTGGTCTCATATACAAGAATGGTGGGTGATGGTGATGGTGATGGTGGTGGAAGGAAAAAAGCGAAAGTTATCATTATTATACTGTTTATGATCTTCTTGGGAGTAGGATTTTATCTTTTTGGTGTTTTTGCCTCTCCCTGACACTTTTGGGACTTTTGGGGCTTTTTTGTAATAATAAAGAATTTAAATATTTTTTTAATAAAGAATTTTAATATTTAATATTCCTTGAATCCTTGCGATATAATATGGCCATTTGGGATATTGGTTTTGGAAGGGTGGATCATATTTGGATTCGTTTATTTAAAAATTACAATAATTCGGGTTTTACATTAATTATTTCAATCTATTGTTATAAAATTAGATTATATTAAGAAAAATATTCAATTTTTAAATATTTTTTATCATTTTTTATTCATTCCATTTGATCCGAATTCGGTTTTTTCGATTAGAGAAATAATTATTATTCAATTTTTTTTAATTCATTTTATACATATTTGATTCAGTTTAATTATTCGGTAATTAATCAAATTCTTTGTGTATGATATAATAATTTATGATGTGCAAATATATAATCCAAACCATATATTAGTTCGACCTACCACATAAACTTGCAAAGGAGACGTGTTAAATAATTATAATCAATTATAAGTGGTTTGGATTTGGTACGGCTTATATTATCATTCTCAAGGTTATGAAATGGGTTAACGTAATTTTCACCACATTACAAAAAGATTCTGTTTTCACTTTCATTATAAAATAAAATTCCATAAAAAAAATGGTGTTATGATTTAAAATTAAATTTAAATTCCGTATTAAAAGTTAATATCAATGTCACATTAATAACGGCCCGTATTTCATTAGCCCATGTCGGTCCAACAGAGACAATTCACTTTTTGGGTCAATTTGAGAATATCATGACCCTTCCGTGAGGCCCATGTGTATATATGTATATTTTTTTTTATAGGAAAGTCTTTTTGTATTATAGAAAAAGTATATTTTTTAAGATGCCAAATATATATATATATATATATATATATATATATATATATATATTAAGGATGTTTTGTGAAAAATTTATATTTATTTAATTTATATAAATTTGCTTTTAGTAACTATATATTAAAATATTTTATATTTATTCCACTGTCTTTATTTAAATTATTTGTTTCTATATAATTATTTTTTGCTTAATTTTTGTATCAATTTGGTAAACAAATAAATTTAATAATTATATGACTATAAATTTCATATATATTCTCTGTTTTAATTTTCGATAAATTATTCAAACCTTCCATTAAATTGATATATGCAAGAAAATCCACGTGGATTCTGCATGGACTCTCCACGTGGCAACTAACTTCAGAGGACAGCACACGCAACTGCTTTCAGGTGTGTCCGATTTCGATCGCAATAGAAGGAATCGCATATTCTCTTCCCTCCCATCTGTCTGTCTTCCTCAACAACAACAAAAAAAAAAAAAATCCTCTTTTCTCCATATTTTCCTCTCGTGATTTGGTCTAGGTTAACAAATTACGTCTCCTGGTCTTCCATATTTCTGGATCTTTCTTCGAAAGATTCTTCCATTGTCGTCCAGGTCGTGATTCTGGTAGATTCTTGGAGATTACTCGCATCGGATGTGTAAGTTTTCTTCTGCCTGTGAATTTGACGCTTGTTCTGTACTGGGATTTGGTTATTCTTTGTCGGAATTTTCCGGTTTGTGCTGATTACTTCTCTCACGATTCTGGGCCTTCCACCTGTTTGTTGATATGCCTAAACGAATTGGAACCCTGATTGTCGAAAATTACGCTTTTTGTTGTTCTAACTTAGTTTAGACAACAACCCCATGATGTGTATATGTCTGGTGTTGAAAAGGAAACGAGCATTGGTTTACTAGTTTTCTGATTTGGTACCCGTTGAGTTGCTGTCCTTGATACTTGCATTGATGATTATTGGGCGATTCTTTGGATTTGGAGCCATTTTCAGATGGCGGATGCAAAAGTTGTTGCCGGGGTACTAGGAACTCAGGTGGTGGAGGAAACCTCTCCTGATTTGCTGAAGAACACGCCGTCGAACATTGCTAGGTTAGAGGATGTGATCGAGCAATGCGAAGGCAGACAAAAGTATCTTGCTCAGACGAGAAGTCCATCTGATGGAAGTGATGTTCGGTGGTACTTTTGTCAGGTCCCGTTGGCCGAAGATGGTGAGTTTTATGCCGGTTTCTGCTTCTATGTATATGTAATTGTGAGGAAGAGAAAACGGAAAACGGGAAAGAATTCATACTTAGGAAAAATATTGAATCTACTGGGAGAAAGAGGAAACAGAATGCTGTCTCATTCCCAACTTACTCGTCGTGTGTAAAACTGGGACAAGTGGTCTGTGTAAAATCGATTGTCAGAAGAGGTCTGATATATAAATCCGTTGCTCGTGCATTATGTTGTGGCTTTTGAACTGGTTTCTTGATGAATTAGGACTCTTTGGATTGCTGTCATTGTGCTATCTTACATTCGAGTTTATAATTCATGTTTGTTTCTCACCATGACCAAAAGGCTGACAATTGGAATGCGAGTATTATAACTAATGATCTAGTTTCCTGTTTCTGACTTGCTGTCGTTGTACTTACGTTGACAATTACTGGTTGCCTTTTTTTCTTTTTCCTTTTTCTTTTTAATTTGAAGCTGTTTTCAGATGGCGGATACAAAGGTTCAGGCGGGGGTAATAGGAGTTCCGGTGGTAGACGAAACCTCTCCCGATTTGCTGAAGAACACGCCCTCAAACATTGCAAGATTGGAGGATGTGATCGAGCAATGCGAAGGGAGGCAAAAGTATCTTGCTCAGACGAGAAGTCCTTCAGATGGAAGTGATGTTCGGTGGTACTTTTGTCAGATCCCGTTGGCTGAAAATGGTGAGTTTTATGCTGGCTTCTGCTTCTATGCATATGTAACTCGAGGAAAAGAAAGGGAACATAACTCCATAATTGGGTAAAATATCAAAATTTTATCTACACTGTTGTGTGTAAAACGGGAAGAAGTGTTCTGTATTCAATGGTCGAGTGAAGAGGTCCGGTAGATAAGGGTCTGCTCGTGCTTAGTGTTGCTGTCATTGTGATATTCTTACAATTTACATCCAAGTTGATAGTTATTGTTCTGTTTCTTATCATGACTGAAGGAAGGAGGCTAATGTTGGGAATGTCGTGGTTATGATTAAAGATACTCCTATTTCGTATTTCTGCAGAATTAGCTGCTTCAGTACCTCGCTCCGAGGTAGTGGGAAAGAGTGAGTATTTCCGGTTTGGTATGAGGGATTCTCTGGCAATAGAGGCATCTTTCTTGCAGGTTCTTCTCATGAGCTTTTGTGGTATATAATTGAAAAGAAAGATGATTAATTCGAGGACTTGACAATATGTGTGTTTTACTCGTAAGTTGGCGTATTGGCCACTTGGTTCAAGATGCATTGGACGGTGATATCTAATTCTCTCTTTTTGTCTTTGATGACATCTGCAATCGCAGAGGGAGGAAGAATTGCTTTCACTCTGGTGGAAAGAGTATGCAGAATGCAGCGATGGCCCAAGGATACACGTTGATTCCAAACAAAAATCGGATAAGGAATCAATAGCATCTACTTCCAAAGCTTCTACATCGACCAGCCTATATGAAGTTGAAGAGGAGAGAGTTGGTGTTCCCGTGAAGGGTGGGCTATATGAGGTACCTCTGTTCTTTTTTTTTACAGAAACCGAAAGTTGCTCATAATTTTCCATGTAAACTAACATATTGTATTATCTAACTTATTTTAGTTAGAGTTGCCTGCTGTTTCTAAGGTCATCTGGGAACTTTTTTATATCTTCATCTTTCTTTCTTTCTAAACCTCCATCAGTAAAAGATGAGCCAATGCTGCAGGTCGATTTGGTGAGGAGGCATTGTTTTCCAGTTTACTGGAATGGAGAAAATCGGCGTGTGCTTAGAGGCCACTGGTTTGCTCGTAAAGGAGGCCTCGATTGGCTTCCAATCAGGGAAGATGTTGCTGAACAGCTAGAGGTCGCATACCGCAACAAGGTTACCTTTCTTACTTTCATTTATGTTTTCAATATTTATGAAAACTGTCCGGCTGGAATTAGTTGCTGTCATTTCTGCCTTGTGGGATTTTGGTTCTCAGTAGACTTAAGTGAGAAGGAACCTGGAAGATGTAAGTTTCATAACGTTAGAGAAATCTGTACGAATGATAGACTCTGCCTCCCATTTTTCCCAATCTTTTTTGATGATATGACGATGTGACAATGAGTTGGGAATTTCAACCAGGTTTGGCGCAGAAGAAGATTTCAACCCTCTGGACTTTTTGCAGCTCGTGTTGATTTGCAGGGATCCAACTTGGTATGTGCTTCATTTCCGGGATAAGAAAATATAGTTTATTACGTCTTATCAGCAGTCCATGTGCATAATATTATCCTAACTTGTAAATGTAGGGACTGCATGCTCTCTTTACTGGGGAAGATGCTACATGGGAGGCATGGCTTAATGTTGATCCATCCGGTTTCTCTGGTTTTGTTGGTTACAGTGGAAATGGAATTAAGTTAAGGCGTGGTTACTCCGGCTCACATTCTCCAAAACCTACTCAGGTTTTAGAATTATGTTTTTCTTCTCTTTATTTACATTAAACGTTTTTCTTACCAGGCACAATTATCTGTCATTTTCTTTCTTTATGTTTTAAGTTTATACGTTTTGTGAACCCCGTTGACCTCATCGTACGAAAACTCTTCTGTTTGTGTTAGCATTAGCTCTATTCTTCTTAATCATAATTCTTGGGCACTTATTCAGGAAGAACTACGCCAACAAAAGGAGGAGGAGATGGATGACTACTGTTCGCAAGTATGTCTTTGTGTACCCCTCTTGATGTTTTCATTTTTTACTTTTCACCAAGAAGTTTTAGGAAATGCATTTGAATTTAGGGCATTTGGTTGCGTAATGCGCAAAATGTTCTTTTAAACTTCCAAGACACTTTCAGAAGATCTCCAAGTCTCAAGTTCTATACAAAATCTGTGGGATATTTTCCAGGTTCCTGTTCGCCATCTTGTTTTTATGGTCCACGGCATTGGTCAGAGATTAGAAAAGTCTAATCTGGTTGATGATGTTGGAAACTTCCGTCAAATCACAGCAAGTTTGGCTGAACGTCATCTTACCTCTCACCAACGTGGAACTCAAAGAGTCCTTTTCATCCCATGCCAGGTCCATCCCCTTTCCTTTCCCCTTCCCTTTCCACTTCCATTTCCTGACGCCATCTTGTATACCATCTGATATACATACATGTTTATTTCCAAGTATTGATCATGATATGTCTTTTCTCTATATATTTTTTCAGTGGAGAAAGGGCCTAAAGCTAAGTGGTGAAGCTGCAGTTGACAAATGTACTTTAGATGGTGTACGGCGATTGCGTGTCATGCTCAGTGCTACGGTCCATGATGTGTTATACTACATGAGCCCCATTTATTGTCAGGCTATAATTGATTCGGTATTGGTTTTCTGTAATTTATTTGATTCCTCCCTTTTACTTTTTCTGATGTGCTCATCCTCAAGATAGTGATAAGAGTAGCACAGTTCCTGAATTTTTTGTGTAGATTCTAGTTGGAGTCAGGTTTTTAATAGCTCGTACACTAGACGTTTTTACCTTCCCCTTGCATGACAGAGTTGGCATTTTGACCAGTGTTGATAAAGTTCGGAAAAGCTGTGTTTTTAGGGGAGCCAGGTTAATAAATTTTAAAACTGATTTTTACAAGAAAAGGAGGTCTCTGTATATTTATTCCAGCTTTTTTTGACATTGGAGGATCTTCTCTTTCTTAAGTCCATCCCTATTTGGTCATTGGTATTGACTGAGTTCACTTTTTTTTAACAATGTTGAGTATTAAGTAATAGAAAGAATGTGGTTTGATTTAGTTGTCACTTTCAGGTTTCGAACCAACTAAACCGGTTGTATCTGAAGTTCCTAAAGCGAAATCCTGGCTATGATGGAAAGGTTCGTTGCTGGTTTAACCTGTTCCTTCACCAAGCTGTGGCTGTGAGGATCACATTTTAACTGAAATTTATGTGATTTTCTTGGTTATGTTTACAGGTTTCTATATATGCTCACTCGCTGGGCAGTGTTCTATCCTATGACATCCTATGTCATCAGAAGAATTTGTCAAGCCCATTTCCGATGGATTCTATTTACAAGAAATTTTTCCCCGATGAAGAATCTGCCCCGGTGAGAAGTAGTCGGCATTCTAGTTCCCATCCATCAACAAATTTGGACAAAGATAACTGTAATCAGATGGATACAGAGGAAATCGTAGGCGAAGATGATAATAGCATGATGGCTAAAGAATCAACTCTTCTTCGGGAGCACAAGGAGATTTTCAGTGAAGCTCCTTCTTTAAGCGGCGATAGTGTTGTAGACAATGTGGATTTAGAGCCAAAAGATAACAACGAAGATGAACATGAACAAACTTGTGAATCTGGTGGAGCAATTTCTCCATGGGATTGTTCAAATGGAACTGATAAAGAAACACATGTTTCGTCCTCTATTCCTGGACAATGTGATGATGCTAATAAAGAAGAAATGATTGAGAAGTTGAGAGAAGAGGTAAAATTTAGGAACTTTGCTAACTTTTATACTTGATGTGATTTATTGAAGTTTCATGTCGTCTACAATTATGCAACATAGTGTCTAACCCGATAGTTTTTTGTTTTCGTTCTCTACACAAGCTTATTATATCTGTATTGATTTTGTGAATTCTGTTCGGTGACAATCTCTGTTATTCAGGTTAATTTGTTAAGGGCAAAACTGGCAGAACTGGAATCCCGAAGTGGCAGGACACATACTCATGGTATTGTTTTTAATCCTATATCAGTTTTCTGGTTGTTTCTCCTCTTGGTGTTGGTTTCAGATTTTGCTTCATGTCAAGTCATAGTAATAATATGCGAAATCAACAGAAAAAGCCATCACATCTACGGTGCCCGACAAGTGGACACCAACTGAGGATGCCAATACACCACAAAGTTATACTCCGTATATCAAATACACAAAGCTTGAGTTCAAGGTCTGCGTAGTATAAAATTATCTACATCTCTTAGTCTCTTGCGCGAAAACGTTATGCTCATAATTCCCGTGTCCGTCAACTGAATATATCCACAGGTTGACACTTTCTTTGCAGTTGGATCGCCACTCGGTGTCTTTCTTGCCCTCCGAAATATTCGTATTGGGTTAGGTAATTTCCATATGCGGAACTTGTAATTTTTCAGTTTTGCTCGTATTTCTAATAGTAGACATTTAGCGGATAACAGTTGTCTTTCGCAGAAATTGGGTTAATAACGGTGGTCCTGGCAGAATAATCAATGTTATGAGTGTCCTCCACGCTGTAGCGTTTGACCAGATCTGTTCTGAAATCTGTTTATTTTTACATCTTAGGTAAAGGGAAGGATTACTGGGAAGAGGAGAATATTACAGAAGAAATGCCAGCTTGTCGTCAAATGTTCAACATTTTTCACCCTTATGATCCTGTAGCCTATAGGTCAGTACTTGCTGGAAATAAGTAGTGCCTAATCTTTTGAAATTGGTTTCTATTTGTCTCGCATTTTCTGTAGTGCTATTTTCTTTCTTAAGAGAGAAACACGAAACTGTACTTTTGGTTGCTCGCAGAGTAGAACCACTTGTCTGCAAAGAGTACCTTTCTGAGCGACCAGTAATTATACCTTACCACAGAGGTGGAAAGAGGTTGCATATTGGATTTCAGGTATGGGATCATAAATTTTTTCTTTTGTTACACACACCCTCTTCTTTATACGTATGATTAGTTCAACGCTAACATAAGCCCATTATACTTGAATACTCATTCGTTTGTTCTCAATAATGTGCTCTAGGAGTTCAGAGAGGATTTAGCCGCTCGGTCACAGGCAATGATGAATCGCTTTGATTCAGTAAGGGTGTGTTCTTTCTCCTAATAGCAGCAACACTGATATGCTTTTCCCTTATGCTCATGAATCTGCCGATCCTCTTAAGTTGTGTATCGCTTCCATTTCATGTACAACAAGCTTATGTAAGTGAGAAATTCTTTATATTTGTGTAGATAAAAGTTCTGACGATCTGCCAATCAAAAAGTGCGGATAAGTTAGAAGGTAATTGTCAATGACTTTGAAATCTGTTGAACTTCCCTTTGATGGATCCTCTACCCATTATCGATGACACATGATCTATCTCTGTTAGTTAAATATCCTTGCATATAATGGAGCAGATGCAGCAGATACCAATGAGGAAAAAGAGGAAAGAACTTATGGTTCCTTGATGATGGAGAGGCTAACTGGAACTCGAGATGGTCGAATAGATCACATGCTCCAGGTGGGTGATTATGCATTTTGATTGAACAGTCTTTTTCTTTCAGTTGTATGTACCGTTCTTATGAATCCCCTACATGTCTGCGTGGATCTCGTTTCTGTTTGGGTTTATCTTTTGAGTGGGATTTTTGTTTTCTTGATTCCATCACTCATCTATGAGATTTATTAAACCTACTTTGTGATTTGTGGAAGCAAAATGATAATTTACTTTTGTCTTTTAAGGAAAAAATCCACCTAGAATTTGGTTATCGAACCACTGTTTTCGTTTTCCCTTGTCTGATAAATGCTACTCGTTTTGGTAATGTAATGTAGGATAAAACCTTTGAGCATCCCTACCTACAAGCCATCGGATCACACACGTAAGTGGATCTTTCCATCAGTAATTCAAACATATTTGAACACTTAATACTCTTACATTCCTATTCTTTGTTTAGATGTCAAGAGATAACTTGGAAGTTGGAACTATTATGTTAACCCGAAATTTATTGATGTATCAATGTGCAGAAACTATTGGAGAGATTATGATACTGCTCTTTTCATATTAAAGCACTTGTACTCTGAATTACCAGAAGAGCCTAACTCATCATCAGAATCCAATGGAGACAGTCCAAAAGATTTAAGTAGACCTCATAGCTGGATGCAGGGAAGAGAAACCAATGATGAAGAGCTTCCATTAACCTTCTCTGACAAACAAATGGTCAGAAGCTTCTCAGCAAAAGCCCGGAAATATTCAAAGAAGGCTTAGATTTAAGCATATTCACATCTCGGGTCAGGTTTGTAATATCGGTATGGCTAGAATGGATATCTTTAATCAAATGCCACTGGAATCTGCGAAAGCTTGATGATAAAGAGGAAGGGAACGCAATCAGGAAGGGGAGGTTGGTTATTCCTAACCTAAGCCATGACTTGTAAGCATTGTTGTTTATTTACTGTACAGAAGATCTGCTTCGAAAATGTAAAGAAACGCTGAAACCCAGAGTATTTGTACAATGTGATATAGAAATGTTGTTTCAGCATCAACTGTTGCAGCTTACTGTACGCTTATTTCATCAAATGGAAATGAAAATGAGCAGAAGCCTTTGTCAGATAGCTAGCTATTCTGGTATTAACCGAACTTCTTCAGGTATGAAGTTGAAGATGTTTAGCAGACATGGGCTGGAAAACTGTGTCCGACTCTAATGCTGCAGCCAGTTCAGGCCATACAATGGCAGAAATGGTCCATGAGCCATTGCTCCAGGCGCTGGGCCGCTGGTTCAGGTAACATACCCCTATGTTTTTTACTGTGGAACAGACGGTGCCTAGGAGAGGAGCACCAAACCCAAAATCCAGTTCAGCCACCGGAAATCGCCGTCCAGAGGACAAGACCAGAGCAGGACCTCCTTGGCCAAGAACTACCCGAGACAGCATCAGCCCTGGACGGTGGCACTCGACCCAATCTATGAGATCTGCGAAGTGAGTTTCGTTTGTTGCTTCAGTTATTGCTTTATGAACTATATCTGCTATGTCTGACACAGAATCCTCCTTCAGTTGTTGGATACTTGCTTCTCCTACAGCTACAGACAAGACATTGCCTATGTAGTTTGTCGTGGCTGCTCTGAGTCTTCCCCGGCCATCAATCAACCAACCCATCTTACAGGTTGTGTGGCTCTTCTCTATGCAATCTACCATCTTCTTCCACACATACGCCGAGAATGCTTCTATCTTTGTCCTGATCTCTCCATTTGCACAGGCACGAGCTTGCAAGGCCTTTATGCTCGAGACATCAACGTGATAGAGGCGCTTGATGAGCTTTTTGGACACGGGTATGCTCTTTATCTCTTCAACTGTGCATTTGATGAATGATTTGTCTAGGAGAGGATGGTAAGTCGGAGGAGAACGTGGTCTTAGGCCTCTTCGGTGGTCTGGCATGCAAGAAATCGGCTGTTTTCTTGATATTTCTGACCATGACTTGAGAAACTTCCCGAATGAACTCGCATCACCTAACGCGTGATCAAACGTGAACGCCACTGAAACACCTCCACAGGTGAACCCGGTCACTTGAACCTGTAAAGGAAAATCCGGGTTTACCTGAACCAGCTTCGCCTGAAGAACGAGATCAATATTGTAGAAATCAATATCCTGTAGCTCATATTCAGCTTGGGCTTGAACGAGTAACGCCCCGTTGTTGTTGCAGATGATCACAGGTTCTTGAGAAGCTTTGTTGTGAATGATTTGACCCGCAAAAGGGTAGAAGTAGGTAAGGGTTTCGGAAAGAGATTTCCGAAGGGATTCAATGATGGAACCAAAGGATAAAACTGGTTGTTTGGGATATAAGTAGAAGTAGGTCACCGGAAAACGGCCGGAAAGAAGGTCGAGGTTTGAGAGGAAAAGGGTCTGGAACTCCGGCAAGTCGCCGGAGGCTTTGACCCTTAACTCTCTGGTGACTCTAACTTCCAACATTTTCTGCTGCTTTGGCTCCATTGCTTGTGGTAAGAGTTCAGACACTAAACAAGAAGAGTGCCACACAAATGCAAAAATACAGAACAAGTATGATGTTTTGTGCCTCTCTCTCTCTCTCACACACACACACGCACACATATATATATGCAGTACATGTACACGTGATGGGTTTATACTGTGTAATCCGGGTCTGATAATGATACATGATTCCACATGAGTGGTCATGCTATTCTGAAGTTTTGAGAGAAAAGATAGATTTGCATATAGCCTAAAGAGAGATTTGCATATAGTATTACTTTATTTTAGTGGTGTTTTTGTATTTTGGCCTTAATAGGGAGAAGACTACATATTATTTTATTCTGTGTAATGAGATGATGAAGATTAGTAGATTGGAATAATGATGGATCCTCGTTGTGGGGATATAGAAAACATTGCAGATATTGTAAGAAGCCAATGAAAGGGACTTTTGGATTATATTCAAAGGGTAATCTCATTGCCCATTTTGATATTATCTCATTTATCTGTTGGATATAACATCACTACTTGACTATGCCAAGTGTTTATAATGATCTAGAGAGAGAGAGAGGGAGCGAGAGAGAGAGAGAGAGAGAGAGGGAGAGAGAATTTAAAATGAATTATATGTTACCAACTTTGGACCGACCTACAAAAAAGAGGGCAAGGACAATAGGCGAATCAAATGAGAAGTGACTCCAAAATTGCACCAAAAAGATCTATGGGTACATAATGGCCAATCACTCTTGAGTTGATGCAATTCTATTCTATTTTGTGGTGTGGGGTATTATTTCATGTGAACCCCTTAAATTTTTTCGAATTTTGCAAGTCTTAAAACACAAAAGATTGAACAAATTCCATATTCATTGCACCATGAATTAGTCTTACATATAGATTGATAGTAATTTCAGTGATGGTTTTTTATTAGAAATTCAAGAAAATAAAATTAGTTCGCACATCTCCGAATTTTCTGTAAAATGTTTCACAAATAAATTTAGATCATTTTTTGTCTGTGTTTATGTTTTAATTGTTGTTGAATTTGTTTGTGTACACAAAAAAAAAACGTTTTTAAATTATCGTTAATATATCATAGAACAGGAATGAACAAAAAAAATAATTAATAGATAAATTTTTTTATTATTTTTTGTCATAAACCGGCAGTATATTTTTAAATTTATAGTCTGTAATTGATAAGTAAATGTGGACCGTTGATAAATAATGTTTTGCCGGTTGCCGACCATAGTTATATTCTTTAGTGCTCTCCTTTTCATTTCTCACTCATATATCAATAAATTGTGCCTTTTTTTCTGCTCAGAATGACAAAAGAATCCGAGTCCACTAACAAAGAAATAAAATCATAATAGGCAAAAAAAATCTAATTTAAAATGTATGTTTTTAGTATTTTTAAAATCCAAGAAATTGGAATTTTTTTTGTAATCTTAAATTAATTATAAATTTATTTTTACATACATTTAATTTTAACTTTCGATCGCGTAAATCCGACGAGTATTTCTCGATATTCTTACTTGCAACTTTTATTTATTTATGACAAAAATCTAAATGGATATGCACTACCGGGCCAAAACTAAAGGAAACGAATACAAATATTGGGTTAACTATCCCACACGCACAAAACGCGCGTAAAATTCACGCGCTACTTTTTCCCGGACTATAGTCCAGCGATTCTGGCTATTTTTCTCTAAGTACGCAACTTAAAGACACGGAAGCGCGTGGGGGATTTAATCATCCTTTAGTTTCTCTTCTTCTGGGTTTGTTGGGTCGAGGAATATTAAAATTGCATTACATAAAATTCAAAACGTTTTCCGTTTAAGATAAATGAATTTCACTAATATATAATCAAATATGATTTTTATTTATATTATATTGACAATAATTTATTTTTTCTGTTAAAAATTATTTCATAAAAACATAATTTAAAACAGTAATTAGTTTATGTTACATTTTAGTTTCAAACTAACTTTATGTAATACCATATTACTTACCAAAGTGGTATAGTTTGTAAAATTTCTCTATTAAATATAAATAAATTCACTTTATGGTAATTTATAACCAGCTTAGTGAATTAATATTGGGCCGCAAAAAATTTCAAAATCATACGCGTAATGGCCCATATAACATATTGGGCTTGCAGTTGTCCATCGAAAGACACAATGTACGTAGAATCCATTCCACGCGCACCTCTTGCGAGTACATTACACGCGCCACTTTTCCCTGGACTAACCCATCGATTTCGCCTTTTTCCGCCGACAGACACTCAAGCGCGTGGGAAAGTCATCTACTATATTATTGTTTATTACTCCCCGATTTAAAATATTTGTAGTTTTAATTTGTTTTCTATGATTCAAAATATTTATCATTCTATATTTCCAAGATAGTTTTTTACAATAGTTTCCAATTTTATCCCTCACAAATTCCAATAAATTATTAGTTATAACATTATTTTTATCATTAAATAAGGTTATATGTGTCTTTTTCTGTATTTTCTTAAAAAATATGAAAAATTCTAAAACTACAATTAATCTGAAACAGAGGGAGTATTATTTTTTCCGGTATTTCTTTTTCGTTGTGAAATTATTACAAGACCGAAAAATGTATATTTACCAAAACAAAGGGGTGACTTTAAATTTAAAACCAAGATCAATTATATGTCTCTTATCTCTGAATTTCCTGCCAAAAGATTGAAACAAAACCAAATAATGGTGCAATTTGAAGGAGATAAAATTAAATGCTTTAATTCGTATTTTCGAATTACCCGAAAAACTCGGACCCGACCCGAATCTGTCCAAACCCATCCCAAAATTTCGAAAAAAATATGGCCATTGGCAATGGCCATTTCAGCTATTGAAACAACTGATGATAGCAAGAACCCAGAGAAGAAGAAGGAGAAAAAATCAACCTTGAGGGCTAAAATTCATGCTGAAGTCTTCTGTGTGATCTGAAGTTGCTGAGAATCACAATATTGAGGATATTCACACCGGCAAGGATCGGTTCTCACCTGCAAAAGTTCAAAGACGCTGTTTCATGAAGGATTAACAAGCCATTTCAAATCACAAAAATCTTCTCTACGGCCGACGAATCAGATCTTTGGATCGGTTTCTCTTGCAAAATTCGGATTCAACCGGGTTTCACGAGATGAGTGAAATGGATTTCAATACCCAAATTCGTGATTCGAGACGTTCCATGTGTGTCTATGTATGTGTATAATATATACCTTGCGAATTGTGAATGATACCCTTCTTGAACATCTTCTGATCACCTCGTCCTTCACTTTGTCGATCTGCAAGAGAATATTATTAAAGCCTCGAACTTTGCGGGTGAAAGTTTGCACCAAATGGAAGAGATCTAGATTGAGAAAAAAACAGTGACCTTGTGATGTGGAATGTAATGATGCCAAGCATACCGGGCTTCCCCGGATAATAAGAGCATAGACCGAGGGGGAAGGTATATGGCTTTCCTTGTGATGTTGCCTGACTTGTCAGCCGCTGTCACGGTTTCCGAGGCTGCTTTCCAAGTGCCCTCCGAGTATCTTCTGAATTCCATAATACAAGGGCCGGCTAATGAAAGGCTGAAAATGGAGCCTTCAAATGCTGAATGTGTATCGATGTGAGGAGACAAACCCACGCCAGATGGGTACTCGTTTACCTAACGTATATAATCAGAAATCCTCATCTTCTTCCCAGTAACGAAAAATCCAAGAGGAATGTCAGTTTCATGACTAAGTACAGAGTTAAGTGTATATACCGTTAGCTGATCCAAATTCAAGCTTGCAGGGTCATCGAGATTTGGGAACAAAGATATTCTTTCAAGAATCGGAGAAACAAATGATGGAAGCTCTCCAAGACGCTTCTTGGTATCAACGTTTCTTGTCTGCGGTAAAACCCAAAAAGAAGAAAGAGTAATTAAAAGAAAATTCTGATAGGACTCTGCACGAAATATCAACAGCTTGTCCTGTTTCTGGAAGACCGAAAACATGATGCATGTACACACATTTACACAGTTAACAAATTACAAAGGAATACAAGGGAGTTACCCCGTAGCAGAACTCGTATCCATAGTGCTGAACACGTCTTTTCGCTAGACCAATCCAAGGCCGAGCATCAACAGCCGCAAGCAATTGCTGAAAAGACGAAAGCAAAATAGCACATAGATGCCAACAAGAGCCGGTTGAAATCAAGTAACTTACGCTAAAAGCCATTAAAATACTTCTTACCTGCTCTTCTTCAGCACTGACGAAATCGTGTACTAAGAAAAGCCCAGGGATATGCAGTTCTGAATCAACCAAAGACACCGGAACACAATCATTCACCTGGGTCTAAACAAAAGGTTTCAAGCATTCAATCTAGGTGTGTGCAGAGGGAAGATAAACTATTTCCAGACATCAATGTTATGTCGGAATCTAAATTATACCCAGTCAAAAAACCGGATAGCGATCACATAAACGCAACCAAAAAAAAAAAAAAAACAGGAGCATCTATGCAATCACTAGATTCAACTATCTTCAAAGCTCCGATATGAAAATCTTCTGCAGGTGTTGTTGAAATTGATACAGTTTCACGAAACATCCATACACGTATGCTATCATTATTGGTATATGGGTTGCAACGTACCTCGGGAGCTAGTTGACGAACTGAATATCGGATATGCAGAGATCGACCGCCGAGGTCCGGACATGGAAGGCCATCCATGGCTTCGAGAGCAGCCTTCGCCGAACAAGTCTCCGCGAAAGAGACGATGACGCGAACACCGCTCTCGTCGGCAGCGCACACGCCTATTACATCCCCGAACGCGGCGAACGCCGCAGCGATCGCGTCGTGCGATAAGCCCACCGCTGGACCGCAGTTCGCGACGAATAGATTCGCAGAGGATATAGTTTCTACGGCGCCGGAGGACGACGGCGAAGGCTTCGGCCGGACAAATCGCGGCTGAGCCATACCGAGGAAACAACTGACGGTTTCTTCTCAGACGGACGTCTCCGGCCCTCGGGGTTTTTTTTAGTTCCAAATAGAGCATTAGGGTAGAAACGACAACGTTTCGGCCTTGAGTGTAGGCCCAGTAAAGGCCCAACTTCGAATTAAGCTGGGTAGGGTTTCGTCCCGGCCCTCGGGGATTTTAGCATTGGGGGTAGAAACGGCAACGTTTTAGCTTCGAGTGTAGGCCCAATAAAGGCCCAATTTCTCCCGGCCCACGTACAAGAATTGACTCTCTGGAACGGTTTGGCATGGGTTGATAATCTAGCCAGTTGGTACAACGTCCGCTCTGAAAGCCTCCGAATCAAGGAGAAGCTTCGGACTGTCCGCAAGCGCGATCGCCGGATGTGACCACCGAATCACAAACGTTATACAACAAATTAAAATCACATTATGACTTGAACACATACATTAAAAAAAAAAAACATTCATACGTATACATATATACACATACACATATATATACACGATAAGATAATCGAGTAACCCTAGGTGGTCATGAGATTATTATCATTATAAGCGAAGAGCAGAAACATAGAAACAGGTCTTACCCCCCAAAAAAAACAAAGGCATGGAAAGCAACAGCAATGAAGGGTCAGTGCTTAAGTACCACATGCTTTAGCATAAGCATGCCAACCTCTGTCTCCAATGGAAGGGTTACCAAACAGATGAGAATTGATGGAAAAGATTAGAACAGTCAGATCAGATTATCCTCGTCGGTACCCGGTAAAATAAACACTCAGAAAAAACGGCAGAGAAGCATGACGACGCGTAAACAAGCATGGCTGATTCGATTACCGTAACGAACTTCCAAAGTCGGAGCATCTTCCTTCAGATCCCACTGCAGCATCTTCCTTCAGATCCCACTGCATTGTCCCGTGTGATCGCAGACAATGGAAAACGATAAAGCAAAGTTATCAGAGATCAAGTAAACACTCTTTACGACATGTTCGGATTCAAAGTTTGAG